ATCAAGTGTCAACAACCTCTGGCCTCACACACAGGAACTCACATCCACATATATTCACCCACCAATGGGTAAAACAAAAAACATTTATAGCCCAGCTCACAGGCTCCAAGAAGCCTAAAGGCCTAGATTTACTGAGCTGCTGACAAAGGACAGTGTCCTTGTGTGCTGTGCTGGGAGCAAAGCTAGAAGAGGCCAGGAAGACAGAGACTTCCGGTCAGGAGTATGTCCCTTCTAAGAGTCCATAAGCTTCCAAGACAGGAGTGCTGAAAGGGGCTCTGCAGGGAAGGATGAAAGGTAACTAGAGAACGGGAACAGAGTGACTCAAGGCAAGGCTGATGGGATGAAGGGAAGGGCAGCCTTTGCTGAGACCAGACAATGAATTACATTTAGAACAGTAAACCAGTTTTTATTCATAATAAACTCACCTATCAGTAAACAAACACCAGAGTCTCTGACAATGTGTAGAACCCAATTAAAAAAACTGTAACAAGCCGGCAGACGAGCCACAAACCTGTAATCCCAGCAAGCAGAAGGCCGACTCAGAAGGATCACGCGTTTGAGGCCAGCCTCGGCTACACAGTGAGAGCCTGTTTCAAAAAATCAAAACCTAGTTTGGAGATAGAGTTCAGTGGTACTTACTTGCCTAGCACTAGACAGAAGGTCCTGGGTTCAATTCCCAGGACCACAAAACAAACAAATAAATGAAAAACCAGGCACAGCAGACTTTCAGGAAACAGTTTGGTGTGCTTTACTATGGAGAGTCTGTCACCTGCAAAGGAAGCCTGAAGAGTCAGGAGAGAACCCTACAGCTTACACAGCCCAGAGACAAGTGCTCTGAGACTGGGCTGGCAGGAGCTCAGTTTTCCCTTATCCGTGCGGCCCCCACAACGTGGAGGACTGGAGTGGACACCGCATGTTCGGCTCCCTGGGTTCCTGCCAGAGCCCTGCCTTTTGCTAAGGCTGAACCCACAGAAGCTGGGGGCCTGGAAGGAAGGCAAGGCAAGCTCCGAGGTGGCTTTTTTTTTTTTTTAATCTGGAGTTCTAACTGTGAGGATACACTGGGAGGTCCAACCTGTGGTTTGGAGGAAAATGGGGTCTTCTGAGATAAGCAGCACTCAACCTTGAGCTTCCCCAAAGGACACACAGGACAAGCCCCTCGAAGGCAGTGGAGCTGGGGAAGGCTGTACCTTTAACACTCAGCATCTCCCATCCCTTTACTCAACAGACAACCTGGGTCTCTATGACAAAACTCTAAAGCCCATCCCCTTACTCCACTCCAGCCCACAAACCAGCCTTCTTCCTTACTTAGTGTCTTACGGGCACAGCAGTAGGAATCTATATGTACAGCCCAACTCCACACAGGAACGATCCCCACTCTTGAGCCCCATGTACACTCTTTGGCTTCAGACCAGCAGACACTTAACCCATGGTCTGAACGGCACCTCTCCAAACTCAAAGCCTTATTCCTCCCCAAGCCTGTCTCCTGTATTCTAGGCATTGTAGCCCTGGGCTTCCCATCATCCATCATCCTTCTTCCATGCTGGCTCTTGCCACCCTGGCAGCTGCTTATCTTAGTCTTGCCCTCCTGTCTTAGGATTGTCTGGAGGTACCTCAACTGTCCCCACCCTCGGCACAGTAGCCCTTACAGTTCTAGGAAACATGCATCTGATCAAGTCGCTCACGAGCCACACTCTTCCAGAAGCTTCACACTCAACACTGTGTCCACAGCACACACATTCAGCTCCTCCTCATACAAACTCATCTTTCTTTCTTTCTCTTTAGTACCCAGGGTTGAGCCTAGGGCCCTGTGCATGCCAGCTCAGAATTGTACTATAGAGCTGTGTTCCCTAGCCCTTTCTGTTGTTTTGAAACAGAGTCTTGCTCTGTAGACCAAGCTGGCCTAAAACTTGGTCCTCCTGCCTCAGCCTCCCTACCTAAATTATTATTGTATGCCACCACAGCCAGCTCATTTTCCCCTCACCCTCTCCCTTGGATCCTGGGCATTGAATATAGGCTCTTGCATACACTGGGTAAGCACTCTTGAAGTATGAATGCAATAACCACATACTCAAAGGATAGTAAAAATCCCCAGATAATGAATTCAGGCTTGTTTTCAGTAAAAGGCCTGAGGGCTTTAAAAAATATTATCTCCATTTACAAGGTGATGGCTACAAACAGTTACCAAAATGGCTGCTTGTGAGGGCTTCTTTCTTCCATTTAAGGTATGCTCAAACAGGTAGAACATTGAATAAGGCAAAAGCTAACTGTTGTTCTTTTTTTTTTTTTTTTAACAACCCACTTCATTGTCCTGTGTACTTTAAACTAGTAATCATCTACAGGCACACACTTTAATATGTCTTCTGAGGTTGGTTCAGTTTCTGATAAGGACTGGGAGCAATGCTGTGTGCCCAAGGTCACTGAGACTTGCCGGACAGTCCTGGCCGGTGTGGTTACTCAGGGTTGGTAAGCTGCAGGTGAACTTGCAGTCCCGGGGAAGCGAATTTGACTGTTGTTATGAAAACCCTGCCTAGATTACTAGATTGCTTCTGCAACCCAAAAGGTCACCCACAATCAGATGAAAGCCACTATATTGTTAGTTCACTAGTTGACAGCTATCACTCAGAAAATGCCACCTTTATTCCCTCCAATAACCACTTGAGAGAGAGCCGGCCCACTGAATGCCAAACCATACAAAGAAAAGACTCTAAATACAGCTGTCACTACCCAGTACGTCCGGTGAAGTCTTTATCTGAGTACTGAGGAGATTAGGTGAGGATTAATCCTCAAAATAAAGCACACAATGGGGTCATACCCCTCACTGTGAAAGGTCCCTGGGTTGGTTTTGACAACAACCTAGGCTACACAGAACTGACACCAGCGAGAGCACAGTCTTCTCCACAACAATTCAGTGAACACTGATCGGTGCCTATTGTGTGTGTGGGGGGGGGGGGTGAGCATAAAAATGAGAACGGAGTCATTGCTGCCAAGTAGATGAAGTGGCAAAACACGCCAAGTTATGGGACAGTTGTATAAATTACCTGGGAGTCACCTGCTGATCTTCCACCAGGACACGGTGAAACGAGGAAAACCATTTTGAGCCTCTACCCACTTTGGGAAGACGGCCACCCAACTGCCACAAAAGCCAACCTGTACCTGCGTAAGTCCTGGTTGGTTTAGACAATCTTTGGCCCTTGAAGCTAGCCCAGCGAGCCCTAATCCAAGAAGGCCAGAGCACAGCTGTTTCTGAACTGAGCCAGGTCTGTCAAGGAAGATCCGTGGTCAGACTGTCAGCACCCCTGACAGACTGACTCTGTCATGTGTAGCCCACCCGAGGTGGTGCATGCTAGCTCTGCCCTCCAGCTATGTTATTCAAAACTCCAGAAGCACAGGGCCAAGCTAAGGCACAGGTGACAGAGGCAGGTCAGGGACACTAGCCGGACAGAGCTCTCGGTCTGGGAAAGTACCTAAGCGTCAGGTGGGCAGCTGTGTCATCTTTGGCAAGAGAAGGGGCCGAGTAGTTGCAGGTCTCCGAGGGCAAAGGTATGTGACCATTGCTGCAATTTCGAACGAATACAGAGAGAGGATTTCCTATTCCGCAAAGGACGGAAAGTGCCCCAAGGGAAGGTTGACACAGAAGCAGTTCTTTCCCACGACACAGAGCCCAGAGGGGTCAGCGACGATCGAAGAAGGCCGGGCCTTCCCAAAGGGGTCTGATTCCGGGGCCCGCGTCACGCACGCAGTACTAGACTCCGGAGCCCCCCAACCCGCAGCGACCAAGACACCACGCACCGCCCGGATCCCCTCCCTCAGTATGTTCACGCCGCTGGGTCAGCGCACAGTGACAGCGACACCCCCACACCCCGCGTCCAGCCGCCACGCCCCCGCCGGGCACCCACCTCGGCGCGCCGCACCGCACCGCTCCCTTCAGCTCTTCGCTGGACCGCGCTGGCCTTTCTGCGCACGCGCGTAGGCGGCCCCGCCCCACAAGCACGCGCTTGCGGGCTGCCCACCCCAAGCGCCCCGCGTCTCGGCGCCGCCGGCTCTGAGCATGCGCGTTTGCGCCCGGTGGCGGTCAAGTCGGGAGCATGCGCTAGCCAAACAGCGGTTCCCGCGCTCAGGGGCGGGGGCGCGCCGAGAGAGGTGGGGACCCTAGCGCCCCGTGTAAGGCCGAATCATGGGCATCTGAAACCCCGATGGCTGCTCGTGGGAGTCGCCTCTGGCACGGTCACACGTGGACCTGAACTGTTCTCGACGTCCAGCCTTGAGCGGGTTGAGTGTAGGGCTCCTAGCTAAGGGCAGGACCTGTGCCAAGGTGCCTGGAGGCCGAGTCGCGGCAGAGGGCGACAGCTGGATGGGCCCTAGAGATGGAGACAGCGGGTCAATAAAGAGGTGGCCCACGGGCAGAGATGCAGCTGCGGATGGGGACACGGAAACGCGACTGGCCGAGGCAGGCCAGAATGGGCATGGCGACGAGATCCGCGGTGTTGGACGGAGGAGCTACAGTACTCTTTGCAGATCCCGGCTGGAAACGGAGAGGTGGCTGTCTGAGCCACAGCACCCGCGGCGGTGGATGGGTGTCTGTGGTAGCAGCAGTGGCTTTGGGAAGGACTCTAATGTGTCACAGCGTCGGAGAGAGGGTGAATCACAGTGGCCGGTGGGATGTGCTCTAACCCCAGAGGGATCCTCGCAACCCCTGGGAGTGAGGAGGTTCACGACTTTTAAGAAATGTCAGGGATCAGGATAGACCCCCTTGTCCCGGGCAGCCAGGGTGATGAGATCAGGGTCCCCTGAGGGTGCCGGCTGCCCTAGGAGCCTCCAGGTGGCTCTCAGGGGGCCTTCACACACCTGGGGGCGGGTGTCGCCAAAGAAGTTTCAAGCAGGGATTGGGGGGAGGTTAGATGGCGATACACGTGACACTTGCCGCAGGCCAGTGCGCCCGAGAGCGCGCCCAGTGCGGAGAGGAGAGCGGCGCCCGCCCAGTCCACGCCCAGCCGGCAGGTTCAGGCGGTCCCGCAGCGCCCCCTCCGCTCTCGCCGCTGCAGCCTCCGCAGGCGCCGAGTCCAGGCGTCCCTCCAAGGCAGCACGAGGCTCCCCCGGGCCGCGCTGAGCCCGGCTCCCCGGCCCGCCGCGCTCCCAGCCGCAGCCCCGGGCCCCCCTCCCAGCAGCAAGTAGCGCCGGCCGGGCAGGAGGCGCGGGCAGCCGCAGGCCGCGTCCAGGGTCGGTACCCACAGCGCGCTGCTCCCGCGCCGAGCCCGCTCCTCGCCGCTGCGGAACACAGCGAGCACTGCTACCGGGAAGCGTGTCCACGCGCCGCGAGCCTCGCCGCGCGCGCCCACCGCCACCTGCACCGCTGCGGGGGGGGGGGGGAGTAGGCGTGAAAGGGCGATCGGGTTAGACGGGGCGGGGCCGGAAGGGCTGTGTGGAGAAACACGAACGCGCCCACCCTGCTTGGGGAAGACGGGAAGCGGCCCCCCGCTAGAGGGAGGGGCGCTGAAGACACGGCTCGGTCGGTGGAAGAGCCGGGGAGAGGATGAGCCTTGAGGTACAGCCAGGGGTTGGGGGCGGTATGGAAGGCCGGGGGGGGCAGCCTACCGTAGTCCTTCCGGCAGAACTTCTTGAGGCTGATTCGGTAGCTGCCACGCGCAGGTCTGCAGTGTGACTCACAGTCTGGGGGGGAGAAGAGCGAGGCTAGCAGGGTCCCCCCCCACCCACGTGCTGGTCCGCCTTAGCTACAGCCCCCTTCTCTCAAGTCACACCAGTCTGGGGCTCCGGTGTCCACTCACCCTGTGGCTCCACAGGACTGCTCTCTTCGGTGGGTCCAGGGACAGGGGTCTCTAAGGAAGTGCGGGGGAAGAGTCTATGATGGGGTAGGCTCAGGGGACGGACAGACAACAGTCAGCGGCCGACGTGACGGTGGCTTAGGCGAGGGAGACAGGGCAGGGGGGGGGCACTCACTGACACAGGGTGCCACAGGAGACCGGCTCTGCTGGAAGCCCGGCGCGCAGCGGTTACAGGTGAGGCCAGTGACCCCATCCTTGCACGGACACTGGCCTGTGGTCTGGTTACAGGTTTTGCCAGCGGCACCAACCGGGTGGCAGTCACAAGCTGAGGGCAGAAACGGGCGCAGTTAGGAGTGTGGGGCGGTAGAGAGCGTGAAGCCATGCGGGCGGTAGGCTCACCTCTGCAAGCGCGGCGGTCACTCAGGGTGCGGCCTGGGTCGCGGTAGAAGCCCTCCCGGCAGTAGTGGCAGTGGCGGCCGGCAGTGTTGTGCCGGCAGTTGAGGCACACCCCGCCACTGCGGCGGCCGGACAGTCGGTACAGCTCCATGTTGAAGCGGCATCTTCGGGCATGGCCATTGCAGGAGCAAGCTGCAGGGAGGCATCAGTCAGGGGCAGCCCTGCCTGGCCACAAGTCCCCAGGCCACCCTCCAAGGCCTCACCGAGGCAAGCGTGGGCCTCCTGCCCTGTAGCCCGCTGCCATGGCCTGTCGCAGTAGAAGGGCTTGCAGCGGCTGCAATCGGGGCCTTCCGTCCCGTGCTGGCAGTCACAGGTCAGGCGGCCGTGGGTGTCCAGCAGGCACCGTGAGGCGTGCCCGTTGCACTTGCATCGACCTCCCACCTGGAGCTCAGTGGCTGAGTAGGAGTAGGGTGCTGTGACCGCACCGTCCCTGGTGTCCCCCTGTGCGGCAGGCCGTGTGAGTACTATGCGAATATCGGTGGCAGTGACCCAGTCTTGCAGCACGGGGCTGTTGTCCAGGTCCAGGCCCTGCGGGCTGCCATCCTGCACACTGAAGGCCAGAAGGCCCCCACCGTCAGGCTGGGCCTGGGGGGCCGGGAAGCACAGGGCCTCTGGCCCTGGACCGGCAGGGCCATCAGCAGGAGCGGGCGGACGGCCATAGTCCAGGCCACAGCTGGAGGAGAAGAAGCCCAGGGGCACCCAGCTGCGGCCTTGGTCCTGCGACTTAAGCAGGGCCGCGGAGGTCGGGGGAGCTGAGCAGAAGCGCAGGCTCACGAAGACCAGCTCAAAAGCCTTCCCCAGGGGCACCGTGAGGGTTATGTTGAAGGGTGCCCGTTGCAGCAAATCGGAGCGCCAGCACAGAGGACTTGCGGTGCCCGGAGCGGAGGTCAGGAGGTCTGCGGAGTGTGCCCGCTGCGGGTCGGAGGAATCGCAGACGCGATTGGCCGGGCTCCCGCACGTGCTGGACGCCAGCACCTCTCGGCCCAGGGCAGCATTCACTAGGCCGGGAACACAGCAGCGGGGCTCACCCGCCTCGTCATAGCAGGGGTCGGCGGTGGCCGGCAGCCCTGGGCCCAGTGCAGCGAAGAGCGTGCCCGCGGTCAGCAGCAGCCCCCAGGGCCAGGTGGGCATGGCCGTGCCGCTGTGGGTCAACCAGCCAGCTTCCGCCCCACGGCTCTGCCCTCGAGGAGAGAGAGCCCAGTCCGAGACTGTGCCTGCCGGGTCTGCAGTGCCAAGATAGCAGAGCCCCTGGGCGGCCCCCGGCACAGGCCCAGAAGTGGGAGCAGCCACCGGCACGCCCGGGGCCGAGCGCGGCAGCAGGGATGTTGGCGAGTCCTCCTGCTAGGCCTGGAGCGTTGACAGGCGTCGCTCCCGCTCCCGGTGCCTCCGCCCGCGGAGGCCCCACCCGCCGCCGGCCGCCAGCACTCACCCACGGAGGGCCAGGAGGAGCAGGTCTCCCGGCCTCCCGGGAAGGGCCCTGGGCGGGCGGGGCCTGGGGCGCCGGAGCTGCCGCCTCCTCCTGGCTGCAGCGAGGGCAAGGGAGCTGTGCCAGAAGAAGGTGGGGGTCTCAGCAGGCGCGAGCCTGGTCCTAGCCAGGGGCGGAGCTGCTCGGGCCGGGAAGGAAGGAGGGGAGGGGGCCTTGTCCCGACAGCCAGAATCAGAAGCAGATTCAGACACGGGCTGGGCCAACGCGGGAGGGGGCTGGGAGGCCCGAGGGCCGGGGGAGGGGCTGGAGAGCCAGGAATGCGCTGACGGGAGGGGGCAGCTCAGCCTCGCAGCCCGTGAGGGACCACCCAGCAGGGTCCTCGGCCCAAAGCCAGGCTTTGGCTGCTCCTGGGGTGGTGCCACGTGCTGGGCCGGGGTCCGGGCCACTCCTCCCAGAGGCCTATCATGCGGCACAACCTCAGGTCTGAAGCTTGAAGTCTTGGACGTTGCCCAGGATGGGGGGGGGGACACAGTCGGGGCTGGCGTACTTGTAGGGTATCCCCAAGGCAGTTGTGTGTTCTGGCGGAAAGAACGCAGGTCTGATTCTAAATGCAGGCTGTTTGGAGTACTGGCTGTGTGGCCTGAGTTGCTCAGTTTCCTCATCAACCAAAATGCCTATTGTTCGCCATGCTTTGTGGAGTTGCTGGGAGGATTTGAGGAGCCAGCATAGCTGTCACCCTAAGCTAGGAGTCCCACAAGGGTGCACCTGGAGTCTGCTAGTGATGAGGTCCCTGTTCCTCAATGGGATCGGCCAAACCTCTAAATCTAAAGCATTCCTTGGTCTCGGTGTATAGTTGTATCATATGGTGGCCCAGTTGTCCAGAAGGACTTGAAAGCTTGGAAAATGGGCAGGGAATACAGCCTATTGGACAGCCCCTTTCGGTTCAGCGTCTGGTCCCCTGTTGAGGGCCCCTATGGAAAGGTAAGGAGTGGGGTCTGATGCAGGAAGAGGGGCTGGCTACAAATCAGAGTCAGAATCCCTGGACCTGGTGGTCACTGCAACGGTAAAAGGCCATATGGGGATGCCTGGTACTCAGGGCTGCCATTATGGACTGAGAGCATTCCTGACAACAAAAGGAGAAAAAAACAGCAGTCAGGAAAGGAATAGTGAAGTAAGGACGCTGGAACCCCCGCAGGACAAACCAAGGCTGCAGCAGAGGCGGGCACTTGGAGACACTGGATGACAGGTTGGTGGATACTTGGGTTGGCCTTTGGAACGACTGACTCTCTGACCCTCGGCATTTCCCCAGGCCTGCTGTCCACACACGCTGGAACAGACATCCTAGAGGGGCTGCTGGCCTCTCTCCTCGTCTGGACAGCCACAGAGCCTCACCTTTCCCCTTGCTAAAGTGAACCAGTATGTGCCCTTGGAGCAAATAGTCTTGGGCTCCTGGTTCTGCTCTTGGGCAGGTCAAGTTCAGAATTAGCCCTTCCCAACCACCTTCTTGGACCGGTGGTTCTCAACCGTCCTAATGCTGCAGCCCTTTCATATAGTTCCTCATGTTGTGGTGACCCCCACCATAAAGTCATATTTGTTGCTACCTCATAACTGTGATTTTCCTACTGTTCTGAATCTCAGTGTAAACATCCATGTTTTCCCATGGTCTTAGGCGACCCCTGTGGTTGAGAACCACTATTCTAGTTTCCTCTGCCCCTTACCTCATAGGGATGGGAGGAGCCCTGGTGGGGGATGAGAGAAACAGAGCTGCTTATACTTGAGAAAAACCTAGCTGGGAGCACAGACTGTCAGCCAACCATGAGATAGGGCTGGGAACAGCCTTTTACCCTAACAGTGAAGTGAGCTTTGTCTCCAGTTCAGCTCCCCATGAGCTGTGGCTGCTGGGATCCTCAGAACACATGATGGATTCTGATGCGTGGAAGCTGGTGTCTGGGGCTCAGCCTTGATGAGGTCCTAGGGGATGGGGAGGGGACAGGGGCTCAAATGGCCATTGCATCACCAGCTCTTCAGGGAGGAGGCTGTGAGTTTCATATCTCTTCCCTAGAATTGCCCTCCGCACACACTGTCTGGCCCCGGGGCTATTTGCAGATGGTGTGCTGGGCACTGGGATAGCTTTCTCTAGTCTCTAAGAGAGGCTTATAACTCTCAGTGGACCCGGCCACCTGTCTCAGCCCCTGACTGAGGCCTCTCAGGCCTCCCACCTCACTGTGCCCTACCCCCTCCAGGCGCTTTCTTTAACAAAGAGGTTCCACCTCCCTTCCTCACACCTGCAACTGCTCAAGCTCTAAACACTCACCCCAATTGGGTAACAGCAGCTGGCTTTGAGGGGACAGGGGATGATAGAGTGTGACAGTTTCAGGCCGCAGGGAGCTGCTGACCTCTCAAATCACCCCCTGCCCGGCCCGGGACCTACTGTCCCATTCAGACACTTGCCACCACTTGTTCTCGCCTTGTACGAACATTTATTGAGTGCCTATTATGCCTCAGGGGGCCCAGACGTGGTGAGGGGGGCAGGCCCTCTCCGCCTCACCCTGCTCCTTACGCTCGCGGTGCTCCCTACACTTCCCTTTCGGAACACCACCACCACCACCCTCACACACACACAGTCAGGCCGGCACGGCCGCAGCAGTCGCCCCATAGTGTTCAAAACGAAAAGCTGAAGAGCACGGGTTGGCGGAGGGAGGGTGTGAGGGGGAAGGGCGGAGAGGGAGGAGGCAGGGTACGGGCTCATAGCCCTCCGCGCTTCACGAGGACTTGGAAATACACAGTTTAGGTGGGGGTTTTCTATGCCCTACCAACACTGAAATGCATCGCCCTTTCTCGCCCAGACCTCGCTGGGAGGCCCGCCCCCCTCAGGGTTCTCCGGCATCCCGCCGCTCCACAAGCCCAGCTTGCCGCCGCCGCCGAGCGCGCCAGCACAGAAAGGTGGCGGTCAGGAGTCCAAGGCCGGCGCCAAAAGCAGCCAGCGACATGATCTGGGCCAGATCCAGGCAGGGCCCGCACAGCGAGATGGTGATGCCCATGCCAGCTGCACCAGCCAGCACAGCCAGAGCGCCGAAGGGCAGGACGCAGCGCGGCCAGGAGCCCCCTGCACCGCCGGTGGCCAATAACAGGGCGTGTAGGGCTCCAGGGGCCTCTGGGAACGCCAGGCCTGGCAGGGTGGGCTCGGATAAGGGCTCTGGTGTTCTCATGTTTCCGACTAGGCCGTGCTCCGGTGCGGGGATGGGGTGTTGAAGCTAAGGGTGCCCACCACAGCCTTAGGTCACATCCTGGTCTGCCACGTCAGAGCCAGTTGGTCCCAGACGTGGTGACGATACCAGGACGCCTGGGTGTTCCACTGCCTCCTCCTGGCTTTGGCAAAGCATTGGCGGGGGGGGGGGGCAGGCTGGGGGTTACTGTCTAAAGTCCTTCCCCTATCTCCATGGCGCCCTCACAAATACCCCTCCTAACTGCACCCAGGCTACCTCTCAGGCTTCGGGCACCTAGAACCATCCGCTGGACACCACCAGGTAGGGGGTCATGTAGTCAAGGACCACTGGGCTCCCAGAACTTTGCCAGGGACAACGGTGGACAGTGCTCTGCCCTTTTAGGATTTAGGATCGAGCAACGATGTGGGACACTGAGGCAGCAGGAAAAATAATAAGCCAAGTGAGCCAATCGATGGAATAATTCTGGGTAGCCTGTTACAGAAAGGGATCCCGAGGTGGGAAATGACTGGTCGGCAGGGTAAGGGCTCCCTCTGGATCAGGACACGTGGGCACACGCTCTCCAGGAAGCAGGGACTGACTGAAAAACAGCTTGGTTAGTCTAAGGGATGGCTCAAGTCAGGGGCATTCTCCTGTGGCTGGGTGATGCTGGACAGGCTAGGGTAGCCTCCTCTCTTGGCTCAAAGATTCGTGGGTTCTGTTCCAAGAGATGTTGCTCAGTCCAAGGAGGCTCATCGTGTTTTGGTCTACTTCAGCCTCACTCCCTCCAACCCGGACAGTGCCAGTGGGACTGACCTTTATAGACTTCTCTTTGTAAGGAGGGCCTCCTGCTGGTAACCAGAGCAAGCAGCTTAACCATTACCTGGTGCACTCCCCCCACCTATGGGCTTTACCAGGCTCTCCACAGACCTGGTTTTACCTCCATGTTCACTTCCTGTCAGGCCCCCTGAAGGGGCCTGTGACCCTTGTGATAGAGGCTGTTTTCCCTTTGCAAGGTCCGTGTCCTCTACCCAGTTTGGTGAGGCTTCCGAACTGTCTACACAAGACTTCAGCAGTAGCTACCTTGAAAAAAATGCTCAGGATAAGTGCTCTTAAAAAACACCCAAAATCTCAGCACTTGTGAAGCATAGGCAGGAGGCCCAGGAGTTGGAGACCAGTCTGAGCTACACAATGAGATCTTGTCTCATCAGGACAAGAAAAAAAAAGTTGGGTAACTGGAACTGAAGAGATGGCTTAGGGGTTAAGGACACTTGCTTTGGGGGCATGGTGGTACAGGGCTTTAATCCCAGTGCTTGGGAGGGAGAGACAGGTGGATCTCTGAGTCTGGATCCAACCTGGTCTACATATTGAGTTCCAAGCCACTGAAGGCTACATAGAAACAAACAAACAAAAGAACACTTGCTAATCTTCTGAGGGGTCCAGTTGAGTTCAGCTCCCAGCATGCACATCTGGCAGCCTTTAACTCTAGCTCCAGAGGATCTGATGTCCTTTCAGAGTCTGTGGAAACCCACACACAGTTGTCATACATGCAATTAAAAATAAACCTAACTTTCTTTCTTTCAACAGTATCCTACTACCAGGCTGACCTTAAACTCACGAGATATACTTGCCTCAGTTTCTGGAGTACTGGGATTAAAGGTGTGGGCCATAACGACTAGCTAAAAATAAGGTCTTAAAAAAAAAATCCAGGGGCTAGAAAGACGGCTCAGCAGTTAAAAGCATTTGGTGCCCTTGTAGAGGATCCAGGTTTGGTCCCCAGTATCCACGTGGCAGTTCACAACCTACCGGAACTTCAATCCAGGGGATCTGAGGCCTCAGGGACACACGTGCACATCCCTGTACAGGCAACCACATAGACACAACATGTATTTAATTATTTTATACATGTGGGTATTTTGCCTTCATGTACGTACATTCATCATCTGTGTGGTTCTTGCCAAGACCAAAAGAGGCCATCGGACCCTTTGGAACAGGCAGCTCTGAGCCATAATGTGGGTGCTCTTAACTACTCAACTATCTCTCCAGCATCCAAAATAAAATGTTTGTTTGTTTGTTTGTTTTTTTGGGACAGTGTTTCTCTGTGTAGCCTTGGCTGTCCTGGACCTTCTTTGTAGGCTCCGCCTGCCTCTGCCTCCCTGAGAGCTGGGATTACAGGGGTGTGCCACTGCGCCTGGCTAGAAAACAGTTTTTTAAAACTCTGGGAACAGGCTAAAAGTCCTTAAGAATATTGCATGGGGCTAGTGAGATGGCTCAGACGTTAAGAGCTGTTCTCCCAAAGGTCCTGAGTTCAGCTCCCAGCATTAGTGAGACCTGGTGCCCTCTTCTGGGGAGCAGGTACACATGCAGGCAGAACATTGTATAAATAATAAATCTTTAACACACATACACACACTCCACACATATCCATCCATGATGTAAACTCAGGACCAGGACTGCAGAGACCACAACCTGACCCCTGCTCTTTCTTGTCCTCCTAGGGGAGTAACAATTCCTTATGTAGAGTTGTGGAACTCTGCTAGCTAAGGTCAAAACCTGACATTTCCAGATAGCCTCTGAGCTTGGTCTATTAACAGCGACTTCCTTTCTCAACGGGGTGCCCTCTCTACCTGAACCCTAAAGTCTGTAAGGAGCATCACAAAGCAGTCAGGGAAGATTACAGGCCTGACCCTGCTCAAGCAAGCACCTGGAGATTCCTGGAAATACTCTTCCCTACGCTAAGGAGGTCTTAGTTTTCGGCAAAGACCTTCAACTGAACCTGGAGGTTTCCCCCCACCCGTAGAATAATTAAGTACTGTTGTGCTAGGACTGCACCACTACATGTAAACGAAGTAGCCCTGTGCTACCATGGAATCAAATTCACCCTTGAAACCCTCCCACTGCCTAAGGTTTATAAATCCCTGATTTCACAGGGTAAAGGTACTGCCTGACACCGTCAGCTTTCCAACATGGCCGCCTGAGATTCACTTTTATTCTGGGGAAGGAAGGGATCCCTCTTTTCTGGAGATTAGATGCTGAACTCTGGCTGGCACCTTCCTGACCTTCATGAGCTGTGTTGATCTCCTGACCTTTGTAGGAGCACCCACTGGGCCTGGACCCGCCTTCCAGCCTCATGGGACCTTCTTGGCTGAGTATCTCCAGGCCTGTGTTTCACAAGCTTGTGCCAAATCCCCACCTCCCTGCGACTTAGACAAAGGGTGTAAAACTTTGTCTGATACTGACAATCTCATTTAACTGTAACACCGAAAAACTCATTTCCACCTCCCCCGGTGAGGCCAGGAGTCTTGCCTAGCACGCCTTGCTCTGAAGTGCTCTAACCTGTTCCGGAGAGAAACGGAACTTCAGATCTCTGGGTCCCTGACCACAGCATCCCAGACTACCGCTGGAAGAACGACACAGGGTGAAGCCTAGGGAATGACAGCACCACCAGTGGGAGATGCTCAGCAGGACACAGGGAGACCCCACAGGCTGCTACAAAAGCTGACCCCAGGTGGCAAAGGGATGAAGCTGGGGTGGCCATGGGCAGAGACAAGCCTGTTCTGATGTGGCTTATGGTTTTCTGCCTTTATAGTGAACACACGGGGAAGAGACTTCAGGGGTGCCAGGGCACAAATGATTGTTTCCTCCCCTTCCCTTTTGCAGAAGAGTCACATTTTAAAATTTTTGCTTAATATGTTCTTTCCTTTATTTAACTGACAGGGTTTCAGGCTGGCCTTAAACTTGGGATCCTCTTGCCTCAGCCTCTCCAGTGGGGTTACAGGTATGCACCAAGCCCCTTAATTGATGCAATTCTCTTTTTCTCTTGCTGTCTTCATTTACTTACTTACTTAGGTTTTGAGACAGGGTTTCTCTGTGTAGCCCTGGAACCAGGCTGGCTTTGAACTCACAGCCATTCCCCTGCTTGTGCCACAGCCCTCCAGCTAATTGATACAATTCTTAAAAACCACAAAGAAGGAAACAAGAATACAGAAAGCTCCTTGCCAAGCCCTACTATGATACAATTTAAATACATACACTTCCTGAAGCAGTTCTAGTATCATACTAGTCTGTAGGTCCACAGTGAGAAAAAGCAGAGGTGGTCAAGGAAGACTCCCCTAGGAAGGTAGAAAGCTGAGCCCTGACTAAGAGGAACTGGTGGTGGGTATGCCTGGCCCCCCAGCTTTCCCAGTGGGTTACAGGTTTCTCTGTGCTCTTAGCTCCCCCAAACAGGAACATCTCCCTCAACCCCTGTTCACTACACTCCAGCAGAGAAGAGGGGGCTCTCCCAGAGACGCTAGTCTGACCAGACTGTTTAGTCAGCAGGGTCATCTCGAAGGACTGTGAGGAAGTCCTCGCCTCCTTTACAGAGAAGACTGTATGCTGCCCGACACAGCGCCAGCCAAGGCGGTCCTCGTGGTTCCTGGGTGTTTATCAGAGGGAGGAGTTCAGTCATCAGAACCTGGGAAATGATACAGCCAAGGTCTCAGTGATACCCTATCCTAGGTGGCTAGACCAGGCTACCCATGTGGGCAACCCTGGGACAAGCTTCCATCCTCCAAGCTTCCTTCCTGAGAGTCTATACATCCTGGACATGCAATGTGCTTGGAGAATGTGCTGGCGGCTCACACAGAGGCCAGACACTCATCGTCACAGCCCATCCCAGATTATTCTCTCTTGAAACTGACCCTCGGGAGGGCACGTGCCAGCCTCAGTGATGTCACCACCTCCCGGGAACCCACCTCCTGCTCCGAAAGTACCTTTTCCAGGTGGATCTGCTGGTCCAGCATGGCCACCTGAAGCTTCAAGGTTGCCAAGGTCTGCAGCTCCTTGGTGCTAGAGTAGATAAGGAGCTCAGGGCACCAGAAAGAGTCCACTTCTCCACAAAGTGATAAAGCCTGAGTGGGCTTCTCCACAAGGCATGGTCCTGGCGGTTGTTCGGTCATAGCTATGAGAATAGACATTTGTAGTCTCACGGGGTGACAGCCAGTAAGTACAGGTCAGTACTTCATTTTCCAGGCACCTCTTCCCTACTCTCAACTGACCCTGGCTTTAAGAGATACAAAGCTGCACTTTTTTTTTAAAGACAGGGTTTCCTGTGTAGCCCTAGCTGTCCTGGACTCACTTTGTAGACCAAGCTGGCCTCAAACTCACAGATACCTGCCTGCCTCTCCTCCCTGACTGCTGGGATTACAGGTGTGCGCCACCGCGCCTGGCTCAAAGCTGAGCTTTGAGAACAACCCAGCAGTGTAAGTCAGGTGCTGCACACCTTTGACCCCAGCACTTGAGGGGCAGAGGCAGGCAGTTCTCTCAGTTGAAGACCAGCCTAGTCTACAGAGCAAGTTCCAGGATAGCCATGGCTACACAGAGAAACCCTGTCTCAAAATGCCTTGACCCTAGTTCAGCCCTCAGCACAGGCAGTGGTAGGCTAGAACCTCACCTGCTTGCAGCACCTGGATGCTGCTGAGGCACTGTCCAACCATGGTCTGCAGTCCTTCCAGGGTGAGCAGGCATCCGTACTCCTGCATCCAGTCAGTGGGGGCTACGCGGGTTGCCGGGGGCAGGCGGGGTCCATGATGGCTCCCTGTCTGTCCCCCTTGCCTTTTCCCCCCCACCCAGGTTCCACTCAGGACCACTGACCTGTTGAAAGTTTCTTCTGCATATGGAGTCTCAGCAGCATACAGGCCTTCCTCAGGCTCTGGGCATGCGCCCTCACCTCTGCAGCACCGGGCCTATGGCTGGGACAACCTGACTGCACACTAGTCAGGGAAACTGTCCTGTAACCAGACCCTCCCCTTCACCAAAGATGAGTCTGGAGAGATACCACTGCCATGCCATGGTGGCCCTTTCCCAAACCCGCCAGGGTTAGAGCGAGAAACCCCCAGCTCTCCCAGGTCAGTACGGATACAGCCATCTGGAGTTTGTGGAGGAACTGAGTTTTGGCGGCGCTGGCGGCATCCGTGGAGTCATTGGTGTGTCCAGAGCCGAGCTGGGCCCACAGGCTGGAACAGGCACAAAGGCACGCCGGGAGGAACCGGGTCATTTTAACTAACCAGAGCGCACCTTAAGAGGTAGGGGATGGGATGGGCAGGGGCACACCTCCAGCGTATGGCTTTGCTAGATGGCAGTAGGGGTTACTAGAAGCCTCAGGGAACCTAGGGGTACTGACCAAGACAAGGGGACAGGACAGATCTGTACCAGGCACAAAGCAAACATCTGAGAGGAGACACCTTGTTTGACCCTCACAGTACCTCTGTGAGGCAGGGCCTATTACTGTCATTCCAGAAGGACTATAGTCTGGAATTTGGAGACCAAATGTCATGTTCAGCCCTTAAAACTTGAATGGTTGAGGGCCGGAGACTCAGTGGTTAGGAGCACTTGCTACTCTCGTGGAGGGCGTGAGTTCAGCCCTCACTTCAGGGAGCTCATAACCATCTATAACTCCAGACACCCTCTCCTGGTGGCACACACACACACACACACACACACACACACACACACACACACCATAAAAACAAAGGAAAACTACAATCAAATATTTGTGTGGTTGATCTGGGAACTTTCAAAGCTGCTAACCTGAGTTGACTGTAACAGCAGATTCTAAGCACGCACAGGGCCCTGACACAGCAAAAGCAGAGAGACCTGCTGGAAGGGGTTTTGTTTGCACATCCCAATGCTAGTGATGTTTTCCTGTCTCTTAGCCCCCACCTCAAGCCTTACCGGGAATTCTGGGAAGCTGCCTTCCTGAAGGCCACAGGTAGTTGCAGGAGAGTCCTGTGAGAGAGAGGCCCAATGTTCACAGCAGCTTCTTTTCACTCTAAGACTGTCATTCTTCATCCTGGGTCAGGACCCATTACGGGTGAACCTTCTCACCTCCTCTTCCTTAACAGTCTAATTCTCAGACAAGTTTCTTGAAAGGGGCTGCCGGAATAGCATGGGTACTAGCCTAGTCCAGAGAGAAAGCCCTGCAGAGTCCATCTAGACTCCATGGGCTCATCAGGCTCCAGAAGGACAAACTGGATATCATTTCAACCAGCTGTTTTTCCCTGCCTGCTTCAGCGCGTGACCCTTACTTACGGGGCGGCATCCTGGGCTCTCCCACCCAGCTCAATGCCCTATCAGGATCTGAACAGAGAAGGCAGTGAGAGCCTGGGAAGCTTACCCCTTCTCCTTTAGTGTGAAGGGTTCTGTGGCACGAGGAACAGCCGATGGGGTCATCTGTTGGTTCCTGAGGCCTGGTCCAGATCTGGGAGCTTGGGCTTGTGTTCTCACACGGGTCCTATCTCCCCTTGGCGGAAGTCTGCCCTCAGGGTAGTCCTTGGCAGGGACTGTGGTCCACTGTATGTCCTTGGTAGATCTTGTACCTGATGCAAGGCTGCCAGCCTGGCTGGGAGCCTGGGAATGGGCAGCGGCAGTGGCTGCATTAGATGTCAGGCTGGGGGTTCTGTCTCTTTGTCCAGCCTTAGACACGCCTTTCCTCACGCGTACAGCCTTCTCCAGGGCCTGTGTCAGAAGCTCTAGTTCCTTGAGGTCTTCAGCACTCGGTGTGCATGCTGTGAAAGTCAAGACCCACGCAAGAGTTCCTCCTCACTGCCCCAGCACGGATCCCCCCGATGGCAGTATGCTAGATGAAAGCCAGGGGCAGTACCCGCTGACGCTTACCTGGAGTTGGGTCCTCTTCTTTGGTTTCTGCCTCTGGAGATGGGGACCTGGCTGGTTCCCTGTAAAGACAGGGCAGTTTCGGCATGGCCCAAACAGATCCTACCCCAGCCTCAGACTCTGCAGGATAAGCGAGGGAAACAGCAATGGCAACCAGCCTCTAGAAGTGTGCAGTTGCACTGGGCCTCCCAGACCCTGTGGCTCTGCATAATCCTGATGGTCTAAGGAAGGCCTGGCCAGGAGGTCCCAGGGTCCGCGTACCAGACCTGCAGCAGCCGCCTGGAAACGCGCAGGCTCCGCTCCAACTGCCGCTGCCGTTCAGCGCAGAAGTCCAGAGCGCCCTGCAGCTCCGCCAACAGCCTGAGGACAAGCACCCTGTGAGCTCGGAGCCCCGCGCCGTCCGCCCCACTCCCTCCTGTCGCACGAGACCCACCGGCGCGCGCAGTCCGTGGGCAGTAGGTAGCCTGCTTTAGCTCCAAGCATTTTTTGTCGCCGCCACAAACTCTCGCGCCTTCCGGGCAGAAGGACGCCCACTTCCGGCTAGGCTAACCAATCTTCCTCTCTGCGCTCAAGACCTCCGCCTTAGAGCGACTGTACCGCAAGCTCCACCCCACCAAGCAGGCCCCGCCCTAACCCCGCCCCGGGGCGGTGCTGAGGCTCCGTCGGAATCTTGACTACGACGCCAGGGTAGATAAGACTCATTGACTTCCGATTTGGATAACCAGATAATGCTCTTCTGGCAGGGCAATTTGTGTCTAACCTACTTTGAAAGCAGAGGTAAGCTGTGTTGCTGACTCCAGGGTCACTTAGTAGTCATGCATACGGACGACAGACGGTGTTAGAACTGGGTCAAGGGACTGACGCACGGGAAAGAGAGTCAGATAAGGTGCCAGAACTGAGAGCAATGAAGCCCAGGAAGTCTGGAGCATGTGCAACCTAGATTGGGCCTGCCAAGCTGGCGTTATGCCCTGGCAGGTTGTGCAAGAGACAGATGAGTGATGGATAACAGGAGGAGGAGAGGCTGAAGGCCAAAGATTGGCCGGAAGGGGTTAGGAACAGCAGGCAGACCACATGCAAACACTGCAGCTAAGGCCCAGCAATGGCCTTTGCCCTCAGAGATTTACCAGATCGGGTAAACTATTCACTTCATGTTTCACACTGACTTTTTTCTTTTTCTTTCTTTTTCAAGACAGCCCTGGCTGTCCAGGAATTCACGTTGTAGGCCAGGCTGGCCTAGGACTAACATAAATCCACTTACTTGTGCCTCCCTAGCGCTGAGATCAAAGGCACGCACAATCCATGTTTCATATTGAAAGCTATTTCTTTACCATTACCCCCTTAGCATTTTTTTTTTTAATTGTGACAGTCTCACGAGGCCCAGAATGGCTTCCAACTTAGTTTTTTTAGAACTCTGGGTCCCATGCATGCCAGGCAAGCTCTCTATCAAATGAACAACACCCCAGACTCATTAGCACAGTATTCTATGATAAAGCTCTAAGAAGCTTTTAATACATGAAATACTTCATATATACTTCCTCCCATGTCCCCTCTCCAAGTCCACTGATAGGGGAGGTCCTCCTCCCCTTCCCTCTGACCCTAGCCTATCAGGTCTCATCAGGACTGGCTGCAATTGTCTTCCTTTGTGGCCTGGCAAGGCTGCTCCCCTCTCAGGGGGAGGTGATCAAAGAGCCAGCCACTGAGTATCATGTCAGAGACAGCCCCTGCTCCCCTTACTATGGAATCCACTTGGATACTGAGCTGCCACGGGCTACATCTGTGCAGGGGTTCTAGGTTATCTCCATGTATGGTCCTTGGTTGGAGTATCAGTCTCAGGAAAGACCCCTGAGCACTTTTATTATTAACAGGCTGTCTCTCATTGCTGTCCTAACTGGTCTGAAACTCACTATGTAGACCAGGCTGGCTTTGGATTTACACATCTGCCTGCCTCTGTCTCCCAAACGCTGCTCATTTCTTTTCTTTTTTTTTCTTTTTGAGATGGTTTCTCTGTGTAACAGAGCCCTTGAACTCAGAGATCCCCCTGCTCTCCGAGTGCTGGGATTGAAGGTGTGCACTACCATGCCCCACTCTGCTGCTCATTTCCTAAAAAATAAGTTACATATATATATATATTAGTACATTATTCTGTTTTCAGTTAAGGCAGACTGTATGTGTAGCAGGATCTCATGTAGCCTAAACTGCCTTGAATTCACTATGTAGCTGAGGATGACCTTGAACTCTTCTTCCTGCCTCAATCTCTTTTTTTTTGTTTGTTTTTATAGGGTTTCTCTGTTTAACAGAGGCTTGGCAGTCCTGGACTTGCTTTATAGGCCAACTGGCCTCGAACTCAGAGATCCAGCTGCCTCTGCCTTCCAAGTACATACCTTTAAAGGCATGCACCACAACCAGCTAATATCATTTCTTTCTTTTATATATATTAATATATTATATAAATATATATAGTGTTCTACCAGCATGCCAGAAGAGGGCGCCAAATCTCATTAGAGATGGTTGTGAGCCATCATGTGGTTGCTGGGAATTGAAATCTGGACCTCTGGAAGAGCAGCCAGTGCTCTTAATTTCTGAGCCATGTCTCCAGCCCCCATCTCATCAGTATTTTTTAAGTTAAAACTTTTTATGTCTGCACAGCTTGCATGGCATGTGCTCATGGAGGCCAGAAAAGGGAACTGGATCTCCTGAAACTGAAGTTTCGGATGGTTGAAGCTACCATATGGGTGTGGAAATTTGAATCCAGCAAATGCTCCTAACCAATGAGCCATCTGCCCAGCCCCCTCCCATTTCTTAAGTGCTAGAATTAGAGAAGTGTGCCACAGCTTTTAGCTTTGTTTCTAAGGTTACAAATGTGGTTGGCTCAAGCTGGAAGTGAGGACAGGAGCAGTGCCCAGGAGGACTGGAGACAATAAACTAATTCTAGAGCCCAAACCATAAACCCTACTTGTTGAGGTGTGAATGTACATGGAATATAATAAAGTTGTGAGCCTGGTGTGTGAAGCCAAGAAGCAGAAAGGGACTGGGACCTAGGCAGATTTGTGGAGACTAAGACTCATAGATATCAGAGGGACCCAGGTGTGTGCCAGGATCACCTTCTACAGGTGCAGGCTGGTAGTGAGATTTTGTGTGTGGCCAGTATGTATGTGTGCCACAAGTATACCGAATGCCCACAGATATCTGATATCCTGGAACTGGGATTTAGGGTGGTTGTAAACCACCACATAGATGCTAGGAAACAAAACCAGGTCTTCTTCAAGAGAAACAAGTATTCTTACCAGCAACCATCTCCACAGCCCCAGGGAGTTAACTGAGAGTTTGACCACGGTAACAATGGACGAAGTAGGAGGCAGTTATAGGATGCGCAACCAGCCACACCATGAGTCTCTTCACATTTAATCCTCACAACATGGCTGTGAGGTAGATATTCCTTAAAGAGGAGGGAACGGGTTCACACATGGCCAGGTGAACACTCAGCGGCATAGGACCACAATGCAAATGCCTGGACCCTTTACCCCAGTGTGCCCCAGTCAGAGTGGTCAGAATTCTGTTAACAGTAGCAAAAAGAGCTGCCATGAGGATAGCACAGGAAATGAACAGAGCTTACGCTGCTCCTCCTGTACTTTTGGCTCAAGGGTATGTGAGAGCATTCTGGGTAATTACACGTAGGGTCAGCAGATCTGCCCAGGCTTCAGCAGACTCCCCAGGGGTTGAGGACAGCTGCCTCATAACCCCAAGGCCTTCCACACGAGACAGACAGTCCTGCAAAGCAGTCTCTAGCCAGCGAAAAGGGACCAATGAGCTTTCTTCCCAGGGAATCCAGCCACAAAACAGGCAATTCTGACTTCTCTCTCTCCTCCATCTTTGTTAATTTGGATATTACAATTGATTGTTTATAGCTGTCTTCTAGAAAAACTCAGAACCAAGGGGCTGGTTATCAGTTTTCTCTTCCTGAGGTCAGGGGACCCAGCCCAGGCTGACCTGGAGCTGTTGGTCCTCTTGCCATACATTTCTAGCTGCTGGGTTAGCAGGGAGGAGCCACCACTCTGATTAGATTCTTTTTCCAGTTGAAGCTCAGTAATATTGGGACTTTGTTATCTTTTTTTATTTAATACTCTCTATTTAAAAAAAAAATTTTTTTCCCATTGGAAGAAACCTAGAAACAAAGAAGGGGAAAGGATGGCCTAGAAATTCAGTGCAGAAAGACAGTCACATGGATACAAGGGGACACAGACAAACCACTCTGAAAGGACAGATTTTGAAGATAAGCTCAAAGTGCCTGAGGGAGGGGGGCCTGTAGACCCAGATTCAAGGGCCTCACACCTGCCCATTAGGCTGTAGCCAACACTGATATGGGGTGGGGGATGGGGAGGAGACACACACAGGCTCCCTAGGTTGAAGGGGGTGAGGGGACAGTGCTGTACTCAGATGAGAGCTCCCTACTGGTCTAAAACAAGACTTGCCAGCAGGGCTTTGAACTGTGTTCCGATACCTGGGCCTCTAGTATTCAAAGGAAGCTGACCACTCCTGGCCTGGGATTGTGAATGCCACCACAGAGGCTCATGCTCCCAGAGCCAGCAGGACACAGAAGGGTAGGGAGGGGTGGGCTTCACAGGTGTGGCATGGCTGCTGCTCCACTGCTTTTTCCCGAGCGTCAAGTTCTGACAGCTCACACTGAACGCCCCTACAGGATCTTCCGCCCTTCTGGGCTCTACACAGCACCCATCTGCAGTGTCCCAGTGAAGCAGCAGCCCGCCCTCGGTAAACATTCACCACGGCAGACGCCAACACGCTCAGAGCTTCAGGAAGCCCAAGTTCGTGTCCTCGTCGCTGTGCGTGGATAGGTTCTGGCGCTTCACCCGTTGCCGGAGGACACCGCTCTCCAGGGGGGCTGGGGGGCGACACTGTAAACATGACTTCTTGGCCTGATGGTGGCAAGCCTTCGTGTCTGAGTTGCTGCCCACAGACAGCACTGAGGTAGATCGGGGAGAGGCCCCCAGGCCGCCATCCAGGGAGCTCCCGGGACTCGCGCTGCTGACAGAGGAGTATCCTGAGGTTGTGATGTCCTTGCCCGGACCCGCCCTGCTGCAGAGAAGGGGCCTGGGAGCTGAGGGTGGAGGCGCCTGGGTGCCCAGTGCTTGGTGGCCCTTGTCCTCTGGCCAGGCCTCCTCGTCGCTGGACTCCTGGCAGCAGTGCTGTTCTGGGTTCAGATAGACCACAGTGACATCAAGGAGTCCGCTGGGAGCCGTGACTGTGAAAAATTTGGGGGGACGGTCTTTAGGGCACAGCCGAAGTCCCAGAGGTGAGTCTATACCTGCTCAGGACTGTGTGGCCCCGGCTATTGCTTAGCTGAAGGGCCACGTGTGACCTTGCCCCTCTCAAGCTGGGAGGGTTGCCCCCGACAACTCTAAGGGCAGCAAATTCGTCACCTAGTTTACTTGAATGGACACAAAAGCAAGCAATTGCAAGACAAAAGCAGAAGCTTGCTCACGTCTGTCTGTCTGTCTGTCCGGCTACAGCAGGGCCGCCTGCAGTTTACATGCACACGCGTGGGACACTTGGTGTTGTACACACTTGGTGAGGCACTTCAACCAACAGGGGCCCAGAGATGGATACCCCAGCGTGCCAGGTTCACACGTGTCTCCCCTCAGAACAGTGCCCGCGCATGCCGCCCACATGGCGCATCCCCGCGCCACACCCCCGCTCACCGTCACCCTCCTTCTCGCCTTCGCTCTCCTGGTCTCCTTCGTAGCCGGAGAAGCAGTCCAGGCTCCAGTCCAGAAGGCTGCCCAGCAGCGTCTCCTCCTGACTCGAGAGCTCTGCGGTGGGCGTGGTGACAAAGCTGCCCCTGTCCTCCTGAAGGCTGTTCTCCCGCTTCCTGCAAAGTAGGGAGAGTCCGGAGGGCCCTGTCACAGACGGCAGCACCTGCAGACCCATCACGGCCCTCCATGTCTGCCTTAATGCCTGTATGGCCGCGGCTCTCACCTTGTGTGCTGGAAAACACCCATGAAGCTAGACTAGGTGTGGGCCCTCAAGGAGGAAGAACTGGGCAGGGCCAGGCCCCAATCCAGGAGTGAGTCCTGGCTCACTCTGGTCAGCTTGGGCCCCGGACCCGCCTGTAACTGACTGGGAAGACTCCGCCATCCACAATAGGGACAGTGCTGGGCCCGACTGCACAGAGCAGTCTGTCTTTACACGAGGCCAGCAAACCTGTCCACTGGGGTTGGGGATTGAGAGCTATAGCATGGTCTCCTCTGGGAGAGGCTGCCACCAACCACCAGGCCTTTCTGCTGCTGACGCTACAGTGAGTGTGGCTGACCCCATGTTACCCTGGAGGGCTCTCTGCCCTTTCTGAAGGGGCTCTGAAGGGCCTTCTGGGGAGCAGGAAGGACAGTGAAATTAGGTAGGCCCTTTAGAGGGGTCAGCGACCCCACCTCAAGCAGGTACATGTGTCTGTCTGAGATTTCCCCAAGGGTAACCCTGTTCCTGGAGAGTCAAGAGGACGAAATACAGAGCAAGATGTAAACAGTGGAAGATGCTATGGTGCTTCCTCTGTAGCAGGAGCGAAAGGAAGGGAACACTGCTGCCTTCTCAAGAGACCCCGAGAGAGCAGGGACTGAAGCCAGGGAGCCACCACAGACCACTCACGGCTCATTTAACAGTGCCACCCAGTGCCCAACCTAAGGTTGCTCAGGGGCACACAGGATGCTGAGGAGTCACAAGGGCAGGACTGGCACGGGGCAGGGGGGGGACCTGAGCTTTGCAGGATCCATAGTTCCTGAGGTAGAGGTATTTATTCTAGGAGGTAAGGCCAAAGTGCTGGTACGTGAGGTGAGGGCAGACAGTGCTACACATAGCAGAGGGAGGAGGAGACAAGGCAGGCAGGCAACGAAGACACTACTCAAGTTACAACCTGACCAGCAGCTGTGCCACACTGTGGAGGAGAGGGGACCAGGATAGCTAGCACAGGGAGAGAGAGAGAGAGAGAGAGAGTGCCTGAATAGAATCTTCTGTGTTCAGGACCACTTTCCCTCAAAGCAAGAAGAAATAAAGCAAGACAGATAGGCCAGGGGGCGGCGGTGGTGGTGGCGGCAGCGGCAGTGGCAGCGGCAGCGGCAGCGACAGCGACAGCACACACCCTTAATCCTAGCAGAGGAGGCAGAGGCAGACGGATCTCTGAGTTTGAAGCCAGCCTGGTCTACAAAGAGTTCCAGGACAGCCAGGGCTACACAGAGAAACCGTGTCTCAAAAAACCAACCACCAACCAACCAACCAACCAAACAAACAAACAAAAAAGGCGAGACAGACAGAACAGACAGTGACTTCTAAGAAAGGCTAGAACATTGATACTCAAGAACAGGCCAAGGGCCAGAGCCCGCCGGTTAAGCCTGGGATCTGGTGTTCCTTGGCACAAGCCTTAGGAAGCTCATATAAATAGTTACAGCATCAGGGTGGAAGCTCAGGCCTGCCATGCCTGAGCGCGCAGTGTACGGTTGCAGGCACAGACAGGGTAGACTCACCGTTTGCTCCTCCTCCCAGAGGGGGAGCTGAGGAAGCTGTGGATCTCCCCTGTGCCAGGGAAAGACGGGGGCTCTGGGCTCTCCTGTTTCACTCCCAATGCGGTGCACAATTCGGCATAGCTCAGTACCTGTAGGGAAGCCAGAGTGAAGACCCCTACCTAAACCCAGCCAGGCACACCCACCAGGAGGCTAAGTGACAGAGAGGACACAATACCTCCTCCTGGCTGATTTCCTCATAGCACTTCTCCTCAAAGCGCTGCTTCACGGCAGTCAGGGAGACTTGTCTGTAGTCTTTGGGTGCATCATCATGGAAACTGCAAATGGACACAGAGGCTGACATGTGAACCTCACCCGCCCAGGTTTAGCCTAACTCCCACCGGAGAGGACAGCAAGCTTTCAACGCCAGTCCCAGTGATAAGACTGGCAGCTCCCGGGTGGTTAGTTTCCCAAGAGAAAGAGAAACAAATACACAAAGAACTTGAACAGGAGTGTTTATCTCAGAGCAGCCGGTGGTTGAAACGGCTGAACAGACAAAGGCCCATCCACAGTCAAACCTCCTCAAACATGACACATGTTGGAATATGAACCTGACCCAGGGTGCTCGGTGAGAGAAGCCGGACTCACAAAGTGGCATTCTACGTGATTGCTCCACGTGCAACGTCCAGAATGGGCAAAGCCACAGATGGAAAGCAATGAATGGACGCTGGGGCCAAAGCTGGGAAATTAGTAAGTGACAGCTAAAGAGTGGGGGTTCTTTTAGGGGTAGAGAAAATGTCCTAAAATTCTTCTAATATACAATTCTGAATATACCAAAAGCCTTTTAAGTTATGCAATTTTTTTTTTCAAGGCAAGGTTTCTTTGTATATTCCTGGCTACCCTGGAACTTGCTCTGTAGACCAGGCTGGCCTCATATTCAGAGATCCACCTGCCTCTGCCTCCTGAGTGCTGGGATTAAAGTGTGCACCACAACAGTCAGGACACACACACCCTTCTTTCAGATAAATAATGTTTAGCAACAGCTTCTGGTTGCCAGCATCAGGGAACAATCAGCACAAGAAAAGGTGGAGCGCTGAGACACTGACCCTGTGACAGTCTATGGTCTGGGCACCACAGGAAAAAAACCAGTGTAGGCAAAAGCATAATGCTGCCACAGGAGGGAGGTAGGAGGGCAGAGAGATGCTGGGAGTATTCTAGAGGGCTCTGACTTTACTCCGGAAGCCAAGTGGGAGGCTCTGGACTGAACAGAACGAACACGCTGGATGGAGGCAGCCCAAGGTGTGACCACAGTCACCACAGAGGGCCAGATCTCAAGGCAGGTGACCACATGCAATGAAAGGGCACCAGGCCCAGAAACCACTAGGTTACAGAGATGAAGACGCATTCAACACTACCTATAGGGGGACACTCAGTCAGAAGGCAGCAGCTCAGACATGGGAGCAAGGTAGCGTGGGCTGGGATTGGAAGCCGTGGTCTAGCTGTGACTACTGGAAGTGGTTAATCTCCTGGGGGAGAGGATCTGAGCAGTGAAAGAAAGCCAGAACTACCTGGCTCCTGAGGGCAGAGGTTTGGAGGATGGAGAACCAGGCAGACAGTGTACATCCTGGAGGAGAAAGGACTCCGAGGAAGAAAGCAAGAAGGGAGGAACGAGTCTACAAGTGAAGCTGAGAAAAGGCAGAGGCAGCCATGGGCACATGCAAACCCATCCCTGTGTCCCACAACACTCCACAGCCCAAATGTCTGTCAGCATCTTGTATGGATGTCGTCAGCCTCAGTCATGGATATGCTTCAGGGGACCCCGGCCCCACCCAGGTACCAGTTCATTCCCATCTTTCTTTAAAGAGATTTCTTTGTTGTTCTATTAGGTGGATGGGTGTTTTGCCTGCGGGTATGTCTGTACACCACAGGTACCACTGGTGTCCATGGAGGCCAGAAGGCCACACGGGGACCTGTGGAAATGGAGCTACAGATGGTTACAGCCTCCATGTGGGTGATGGGAACTGAACCCAGGTCCTTTAGAAGAACATCCAGTGCTCTTAACCCCCGAGCCATCTCTCCGGCTCCACCTCCCCACCCCTTTTTCTATAGACTCTATCACTACCTGAAGCCCCTCACAGACTGTGGTATTCTGGTCTTCTTTCTTTTTTAGAATTCGTACAATATATTCTGATCACGGGTTCTCCTCCCCCATTTCCCCCCAGATTCTTCCCACTTCTCTACCCATCATCCAACTCTAAGCCTTCTTCCTCTGTTTCTTTAGAAAACAGGCATATTAAAAAGGTAACCAGAAATGAAAAAAAAAAACCAACAACTTGAAATCTCCTCACACACACAAAACCCATCCATAAAAACACAAAATTGGGAGCTACAATACAAACACAAAAGACCCATAAGACAAAAAGAATGCCTCAAGCAATATGCGACAAAACAAAAACAAACAAAAAAACCATGAAGTTCATTTTGTGTTGCTAGGCACGAGGCCTAGGCTCAAATGTGGTTTTATATTGTATCTGAGAGCCCATTCGAGAAAACTGTTTTTTCCTATGCCGGCCTTTTTCTAAGTACCCAGAAAGGGTCCTGTGAGGTGAACAAAGAGCCCAGTAAGCGTGAGGGTGCGCGTGGGCGGCCCAGCAGTGTGGTCTGAAGCACAGACGGTGGGTGAACTGTCGAGGCTGAGATGTGTGGGTGCAGCAGACACAGGCACAGGCAAGGGCTGGTGGCGGGGACGCCTTGCCTGCTGCTTCCTCTTCCTCAAGAAGACAGGTTCTGTGTGAGCACAGAAATAAGTCCAGCCCCAGGATTTTAAAATGCCAACCTGGGGTTGCTGCAAAAGCCTGACGAGCCGAGTTCGATTCCTAAAACTCACAAAAGGGGGGAAAGAGAGAACCGACTCTACGAAGCTCTTCTTTGATATCTGCATGCACACATGTGCGCACACTCCGAAAATAACAATACAATGTGGTTATCAATAACAACAATCTTAAATATCAATCCCAGGGAAGCCTTTTTGGCCTGAAACACTGCAGGAACACCTGTGAATTGAGCGACAGTTGCCACATGAAAACACAAAGTCTGATGGCAGGGGGCCAAGTCTCATCGGGGAAAGGATCTCAGATTCACTCCCACCGTCTTCCTTTCTGAAGACAGGGTCTTGGTACACAGTCTAGGCTAGCATGGAACTCTGACCAGTGGCTCAGGCTGTCCATGACTCATAACCATTCCAAAACTGAGCTCTCTCCAGTGCTGAGAGGCTACAAACGCTGACTTGGACTCACCACTTTTTATGAAGGCTCAAGACACAGGGCGTGAGGTCGTTGTAAGAGAACCCAGTGAGGTCCCACAGCTGAGTGGTCCAGGGCTGAGCTGGGGAGGAAAAGCAGGTCAGGGATGTGACAGCACCCCACAATTCCTACATCTCTGATAGTTTTGTAACATAGTCCCAGACTCGGGCTTCTTAGTCCCTTTAAAATACCCCTAAGGGCCAGTAAGATGGCTCAGGGGGCAAAGGTGCTTGTTGTGAAGCCTAATAACCTAGAATCGATTCCTGGAAGCCACATGGCAGGAGAGAACCAACTCCTACAAGTTATTCAGCCTCTGACGGCCACACTCACACCATGACATTGAGTGTGCATACATATGCACATAAACAAAACAAAAAACCCCAAATCAAACTATCCTTGAGAAGACTCCATATGAAGTACACACAATTTTGGAAAACTATGCTCCAGCTAGAACCACGCCCCACCCCTGCTCCCAAACTGTTTTAGGCGCCATTCCGCTGCTCTTTCTTCTCCAGGATGAATGGGGAAGGCTTTGCTTCCACCCTTCCAACCTCTCCTATCTAAGAACCTCCCCCTATGCCCCCCACAACCCCCAGGCTCGCTTGTCCTTACTCTGCCCATGCATCAGCCTGGCGAGGAGCAGGGCTGCAGAGGCCAGGCGGGCCGGGGCGTAGACGGACAGGCTGGTGTGCAGCAGGGAGAGCTCACACAGGAAGCTGCAGAGGTGCTGGGTTCTGGGTGCGACAGGAACCAGCGTCAGCAGGACCTCCTTATAGTCAACCACGGTAGGGATCTAGACAGAAGAGGGCGGGAAATATCGTGTCTCGTCCATCTGCATCACGCTGAGGCATGGCCTGGCGGGGGTCTGGCCGGGATGTCCGGCAGGCATGTCCATGCTGATGGCCAAGCACAGGGTCTCAGGACAGGTAATGACACACTGCGGCCATGGCGTCTTGGTGTTCTCTCCAGTAAGGTGTGACGGCCGCAGCTGCTCCCACCACTTCCCCTGTGACCTCAAACAGGAAGACATTTTTGTTCAAAGGAAAAAGCAAACCCCGACTTACTCGAATCTTCCCTTCCAGGGCGGAGATGATCTCTCCCATCATCCGTACCAAGTCCTCATACTTGTATGTGTTGTCAGTGAGCCACACAGCCTCTCTGATTGTCAGAATCTCTTTGCTGATGAACCTGGAATGTAGAGGTGGGTGGTCGGCCCTGAGCTGAGGGGGCGACAGCTCAGAGAGCGTCGGGGAAGCCTCAAGGTGAAGGTATGATGGGATTGCTCTGGATTAGGTTGACAACAGGAGGCTCCAGGAGGGATCCAGCTACCTCTGACTAACAAACAGCATTAAAGGTACTACAAAGAGTGAATCAAAACAAGACACACACCAAGTAGGAAACACAGGGCTGTAGAGTAGATCCAAGTATCTACAGAAGAGCCAGGTTCCAAAGAAACATGGGACAAGTCTGAGTACCTGTGGCTCTTCTCAGCACTTCCTGCCCGACCCCTACTCAACCCTCTCCAGCCCAGGGGCAGGGCTTCCCTCCCTCCTGCTTCTGATTCCTACTAAACTCAGTCAATTTGGCAACCTGCCGATCCCTGTCTGCTTCTTTCTCCCCTTTCCCGTCTCTCTTCTCTTTTTCTCTCCCTCTCTCCCTTTCTCTCCCCTCTCAAGGCAGTCTGTTCTGCTTGCCGTTTTCAGTCTGGACTCTTCCAGATGCCTCTGTCTGCTCTCTCTCTCATACCTACGTAGGAGCCCTCATGTCCTAATTTTCATTAAAAAAGTGACCCTGTAATTTGATTCTCTAATTTTCTTTACAACCTTATGGATGAGGGCTTTTTTGTTTTTGTTTGGATGTGCTGTAGTTCAAATCCAGACGCAGACTTGCCATGCAAGCCCTCAGCTCTAAACGACACCCTCAGCTATGTCTGAAGTATAAACAGTGTAAATGAGCTACAGGGAGAAACAACTGGAAGCGAGGGCCTAGGGTCTGTTAGGAAATGTACTCGCATCCAGTGTTTGGCCATGGGAACCCTGACTCTCCCTACCACAAGTGGGTACCCTGTTCTCTGCTGCCCACAAGTGCTATCAGGAAACTTGGCTGAGGCCCCACAAGCATCCTCCTGGCAAGCGTGGATTGCTGCTCACTCTTGGCACTCTGCAGTGTGAATCACTTAGCCTAACAAAGGGCTCAGGAGGCACAGGGCAGGAACTGTTGGTACAAAGGCCACAGACACTGAAAAGAAGGATGTATACGGGCTGAGGACAGCTCTGCATTGGACCCTGTAACTAGTTGGCAACAGAAGCTCTGAGAGCAAAGCCAGGGCACCTCAGCCTGCTGGGGGTTAGACGCAAGGTTTCACATTCCCGATATGCCAGCCTCTAACTCCCAAATGCTGGGATTAAAGATGGGTACCACCACGTGACCCCCAGCTTAACATATTGTACAACAGTTATTCATCTGCTTGTCTATGTCCTAGGCTCCGAAGATATAATCATACACAGGTTTGCTGCTGGGTCAGAAGACTCGGCCTATGAGATTCAGGTCAGAGCACACCAGCACTGCAGCCCTGTCAGTTTGGCCAAGGGGCTTCTCACCTGGTACAGATGACCATGCAGGCAATGCCCAGAAGCTGGAGCTTGAATCTGGGTACGAGCCTCCTCCGCAAGTACCGGTCTACACACTCCACTGTGAGGTGGAGACACAGGCTCGTGAAGTCCTTCATCGTGGCGACTTCCACCAACCAGTCGATTAGAATGTACCTGTGGACAGAGGGCCACCTGTGAGAACCAGGACAAGTGCACACCTTCAACTCCCGCCCACGACTGCTGCTCAGCCGCAGCGAACGAGCCCATCATCTTGGAGGCACCAGTTTACCAACTCCGTGTCCCAGGGAGCTGGGGAGGCCCACAGCTACTCCAGGGAGGCTGGTGGGTTCCCACATCTCTGCCCCGGCCCATACCAGCCCCCCAGTGCCACACCAAAGCACTGGCCAAGCTCATCCTTAGTGCAAACAGGCAGTGGGTACAGAATGGGTTGCACAGCAGGGCTGGGGATGGAGCACAGCTCTCAAGACTAGAAAGAGGGTTTCCGCTGCTCTGTACCACCAGGCAGGCTCTCCTGTCTGGGCCCTTCTAACAATGTGCTGCAGAGGACCAAAGAGCCAGAAAAGCCCTGTACAGCAAGAGCCATGCAGCCTCTGCACTGAAGTCCTCCCACTTCCCTCATCCAGCACCCCGGATGGCTGCTGACAGAAGTGTCCCTCTCAACAGAAGGGAGACATCACAGGAGAAAGTCATGAGGATACCCTAACCCTAATGCCTCTCTTAACAAGCAGAGGGGGGTAAGTCAACAGGAAGCAAGAGAGAAAAATGGTAATGACGCGGTCGGTCTCCTGGGAGACAGAAGGATGGCTTCATTTCAGCCCATAGGGTCATCTTCAGAAGTAGAAGGACGGAGGGGCAGATGCGCTGAGGTGGGGAAGGGTATGGGCATGGTCTTCCTCTCCCAGAAGGGCCAGGTGTTTGAGGTTTAAGGCAGATAGGAGTGAATAGACTAGAGGGTTCCCCTAAGCAGACAAAGCTGACAGGTTCAACACTCTGTTTCTCTTTTTAAATTATCATTACGTTTGTTTTATGGGTATGGGTGGTGTGTATGTGTGGCTGCGTGTGCCATGGCGGGTATGCGAAAGACAGAGAAAAACTTTTGGGAGTCGCTTCTCTCCTTCCACCATGAGGGTCCTGGGAGTTGGACTCGGGTTTCCAGGGTTGGCAGCAGGCACCTCCACCTGCTGAGCCATCTTACTGGCCCCGGTGATCTGTTTTTAGAAATCAGACTATTGGGCTAACAAGAGTGCTGGGATTAAAGGCACGCGTCAACATGAGACAGGGTCTTTTACTGGTACCTGGGACTTCCCAATTAGACCAGGTTGGCTGGGCACAGAACTCAGAGTTCTCATTGCCACTTCCTCAGTACTACCATCCTCACCCTTCCCGCCCCAGTTCTGGGCATCAAACTCAAGTCCTCGTTCTTGTTCATCAAGCAAATTACTCAATGAGGCTATCTCCATGACCTCAGGGCCATATCTTTAAAAAAATATTTCCTGAACACATATTATGTTCCAAGCAGTGGTTTTCCATCATAAATCAAAATTTTACTTGAAATTTCAAATGAAAGTTTAAAAAATTTATTCACGTGCCCCTCTAATTCTAGGTAACCTCTAACATTTTACGCAATTTAGTGTGTTATCACTAATGTTTGAAGTCCAAAAGAAAGGCAGTTGTGCTAGGTATCACAGTAGCTACTAAGGGAAGGGATGGCCAGGATAGGAGAACAGAGAGCAGCTCCGTAAGTCTGGCCTCTAGTCACTGAGTGGCACAAACTATACTTATAATTATAAAAAGAGCTGTAAAAAAAAAGGTTATAGGGGTTGTGGCTGCAGGTTAGTGATAATTTGTCATGAACTAGGTGCTGAGCTCAAAATCTAGGCCCTCTTCTAGCCAAAAAAAAAAAAAAAAAAAAAGGTTGTACTTTGGCTACAGAAACTGGAGGTATGAATCTCCTCATTTCAGAATGATGTTTAGAATAGTTTAATATGCTCTGTGTCTTTAAAGGAGACTGCAGTGGCTCACACTTCTCTTCCCAGCACTCAGAAGGATGAAGCAGGGTACCCAGAAGTTCAGGGCAGGCCAGCAGCAGGGGTGGGGAAGATGCTTAAGTATCTGCTGAGCAAGGGAGAGCATTGGCCTTCGGATCACCAGAACCCATGAAAATGCCAAGGGTGTGTGGTGACCAATTGTTAATTCCAGCTACAGAAGCCGAGATGGGATCCCAGAACAATACAGGTAGCCGGAGTAGCCATAGCAGTGCGCTCTGCTTGCCTGAGAGACCTGCCTCACTGAATAAGGCAATGGACATCAACTCTGGGTCTCACATACATGTAAACGCGTGTGCACTCCTACACACATGAACACACCCACAAACATGAAAGGGGAAAAAGCAAATGCAAATTTAAAAGTGGAGCAGAATTATTTTCTTCATGAAAGTTCTAAACAGCTCTCACACACACACACACACACACGGATCATAATAACCTGGTAAAGGAATGGCACGTTGCCCTGGGACAGGTGACGTAGTATCGCTCTGCCACCAGATCAAACACGAGCTCTGAAGGTCTCACCTCATGGTGTCACTGAGCCCCTTCTGCACAGAGAAAATTTTCTGCTTGTTGACAGCCTGGGAGGCCTGGAAAAGCTGGCACACTGTTTCAGCGCAGGCTTTCCCTTCTAGGCCAAGCTGGCTTCCCCCTGCACAGGCCTTGGCCAAAGCCAGCTGCAAGGAAAGACAAAGGCAGCGTGAGTGCTGGCTCCCCTGCTCAGGAGGGCTCGGCAGGTAGCGACACAGAGAACACGCCCACCTGCCTGAGGTTCTCAGCCTGCTACAGCAGCGTGGCCAATATCTCTAGGATGGAGGCCTCACCGAGCCAGTTTTCCTTTTTAGTTTTTAAACTAACTAAATGAAATAAAAAAATGTCTGTGTATCAGTGTTTTGCCTACATGTGTGTTTGCATCATGTTCATGCCTGGTGCCCCCAGAGGCCAGAGGTGCCAGGTCCCCTGGAACTGGAGTTAGAGATGACTTTGAGTAACCATGTGGCTGATGAGAAATGAATGCTCTCCATGTCCGCCTGAGGAGCAACCAGTGCTCTTACCCACTGAGCATTCTCAATGGCACAGTGGTGGCCCCGGAGTCAGCACGCAGGAGACAATATTAGCACCCACAAAGACTTCAGATGGTCAGTCACCAAATTTTACCCACTTCCATCTGTATTTTCCTAGGTACCTGTAGCTTGGCATAGATGCAGGTCTGAGCACGCTTTACACGCATCGTTCTTTCTCCGCCTAGAAATACTACTAGTTTTTTCAAGTTATCTGACGTAGATATTTCTCCATTTCGTGTTTCTGTCTGCTACCTGCCGAGTGTACAGAACAGCTGTGGACGACGCCTCCTGCCTCAGTCTCCTGAGGACTAGGATTAAGCCCCCACACTTGCTTTTCTGAGACTCTGAAGCTGTTTGGACATATCTTACTACTCTGATTAAACTGAGTCTCTTAAAATGTATTTATTACAATTATTATTTATTGTGTGTATATATGTGTGTGTATGTGTGTGTGTGTGTGTGTGTGTGTGTGTGTGTGTATCTGTGCTGGACAGTTTTATGTCAACTTGACACACACTAAAGAGAAAAAGGAACCTCAATTAAAAAACTGCTTCCATAAGATCAGGCTGTAGGCAGTGGTTCTCAATCTTCCTAATGCAGTGGCCCTTTAATACAGCTCTTCATGCTGTGGTGACCCCCCCCCCCAACCATACAATTATTTTCACTGCTACTTCATAACCATAATTTTGCTACTGGTTGAAAACTGCTGCTCTAGGGCATTTTCATAATCAGTGATTGATGGGAGACGGTCCAGGCAACTGTGGGTGGTGCTATTCCCGGGGTGGTGGTCCTGGGTTCTACGGGAAAGCAGGTCAAGCAGGCCGAGCAAGCCAGTGAGCAGCACTCCCCCATGGCTTCCACATCAGCTCCTGCCTGCAGGTTCCTGCCCTGTCTGAGTTCCTGTCCTGACTTCCTTCAATGATGGACTACAACATGGAAGCATGAGCCAGATAATGCCTTTCCTCCCCATTTGGTCATGGTGCTTCATCGCGGTAACAGTTACCCTAACTGACGTGCACGTGTGCCATGATGTGCACGTGGTAATCAGAGGGTTAACTTCTGGAGCAGCCACGTGGGTCTTAGAGAGCCAACTCTGATCATCATGCTGGGTGGCAAATAGTGAGCCATCTTCCTACTATAATTTCTGTAAATGTCTGACAATCTTTCTAAACCTGAACACAAGGTTCTGTGACAAAGGTCAGGCTGGACCATCTGCTGAGTTTTGATTTCTTTCCTGGCATTTGAGTTGTTGGAATTCTACCATGCATGTGGTGGGGCCGTAAGAATAAGCTTTCCCCTCTGTGGCAAGCTGATCTGTTCTGAAGCAGCCCCCTTGACCCTCATTACTGTTCAGGAGGGTACCAAGGGCCTAGCCTGCAAGTTCTTCAGCTGGCAGGGCAGGGTCTTCTGAAAGGCAGTTATAAATTCTTGATTTCCTGGCTGGATGAGTAAGGCCAGAACTAACTAACTAACTAGCTAACTAACTAACAAGAACTCCACATACCCCTTTATTCTTGGGCAGCCTAACATTTGTTCTTACAATGAGCATGATCAATGGAACAACTTTGCAAAGCAAGTGACATGAATTTTGACAGCAGCGTTAAGAGGCTAGCTGATAAATAGACAAGGGTGGAGATGGGTGAACACAAAGCATTTCTGGGGTCCTCTTATACACTCAGGACTGAGCTCCAGGGGCTGGAGATGGCTCTCTGCTCTCACGGATGACCCAGGTTCAATTCCCAGCACCTACATCAGGTGGTTCACAACTGCCTGTAACTCCAGTTCCAGGAGACTCAATGCCCCCTTCTGGCCTCCACAGGCATTGCATGCACATGGTACACATACAGACAAGCACACACAGAGAAATAAATATAAAATTAAAACAAAACCAAAGGACTCAGCTCCAGGCCTGGACTCATCTTACTGCTTCCCCAAGTTTCTGTTCAGAGCCTGGGCAGTCCTGGCCCAAGGCTGAAAGGAAAGAATCCAGATCTTACGTCACCTGCGCTTCCCAGCAGCCTTTGGCAGCGTAGTCCCTGAGTTTCCGGAAGCTGTGGAGGCATCGTCCAGGATCAGACGTCTGTCAACAAGAGAAAGTTACCCTTACTCCTGAGAGGAACGCAGAACCGGCCCCACAGGTCTCTAACCGTCTTCTCCCACTGCCCCGGCTTCCACAATCTTTACCCCCAATAATGGCAGACTTTCGGGAGTGATGTTAAATAGTAGCTCACTACTCAGAAGCACCCAAAGCCCCGAAACCCAGCATCTAAGAAAGAATCCTCCCTTTTGTTAACCAAGTTTCAACCCGGAGCCACAAGAACCGGCCGTATGGTCTATCCCACGCCAGACTAGGCAGTGCTTACATCCGTCTTCCTGTCGCTTTCCCAAAGGAGGTATGAACTGGCCAAGCATCCCTGGCGAGCAGCCTCCTCAAAAAGGTTACGAGCCTGCTTCTTCTTCTCTTCATCCTAGAGTAAGCCCAAGCACAGCCCCATCAGCCACCTCGCCCACTTCCACACCTCTGAGCAGACACGCTCAGGGCAGTTACATGGATTAGCCACATCAGAGCAGAAGTGATGCCGCTAAGCATGAGGTGCTCGTCAACTAGCCACCAGGGAGCATGGCCTCGGGCTCTGCTTTTCCGTGAGCTCGGGGGCGGCTCCGGGATACACAGGCCTGCACGGATGGCACAGGAAACTCCTTAAACATCATGGGCAGTGGAACTGGTGGCTCGGTGTTCACCTGCCCGGCTTTTCTTCCACATCCTTTTGTTGTGCTCACTGGAAGCTACTGCCTACCCTAAAGCTGCAAAACGACCCCAGATCACAAAGCCTGTCTGTCAAGAGCCTCTGTGAGAGGTAAAAATGCTGCCAGGCCCACCCACAGGAGAGCCAAGCCACGGACCAGCACATCCTGGGCTCATATTTCCTGGGTCCTGTGTGCCTCTCTCAAAGGCAGTGTGGGTGGAGCCCAATCTCTCAGCCAAAGACCACCTCAGGGCAGGGCTGGCTTTGTACTGACCTCAGCTACTCCCTTTTGTGGCTTTTCAAGTACTCTGTGGATCTAAGCCACTGAAAGGGCAAACAAGGCAAAGTCTAAGCACAGAGAAGAACTTACCTCAAAAAGATTCAGCACTCTTCCCAAACAGTGAAGTATGGAAGCTTTATGAGTCTTAAAAAAAAAAAAAGACAAGTGTAATTCTCGGCAGACAGAACTCTCCCTTCCACTCCCCGATTTCAGTTTTCCGCTATGGCGGTTTTATTCTGTCTAAATCTTTGGTTTCCAGCTACCACCATGTTCTCCAAGATCTTTGTCCTCATCCCAGGCCCTAAGATGTAAGATTTTCTCCCCCATCTGCATTCCCCCTCTCTTTAGGCATAGATAGAACCCAGGGCTTCTAGAATGTGGGGTGAAAGCCCTACCGCTGAGCTAATCTTGTATTTTGTGCACGTTCACTTCTTGACTTTACATAGCACCTTGAATCTACCTCAGGTTTCCCTCCATTCTGGGACTCTAGCTGGGCCTTGCCATGACTTACTCTTTGTAACTGACACTCCGCCCTGAGGCTGTCATGGACCACGGCCTTGCAGCAGCTTCCCGACACTGACCATGGTGGGCGGATGAAGAGCCAGATGAAGGGCTCAGAGCCCACATTCAATCTCTCAGCCATACTGAAGAAGCGAGAGGCCTTCAGGCCATTCACTTCTGCACAGGCCTCATCAGCCACAGATACTGTGGGAGAAACAGGACAAAACACATGCACTACCCTAAGAAAATCAGAAACAAACAAAAAACCAACAACCATAAACTTTGCATAGTGTAGGCACACGAATGACTTCTGGGAATGGCCAGCTGACAGGAAGGTAGGATCAGGGTCTCAGTTCTCAGTCTGGAAGAGCAAGCTGCTCATAGGCTCTCTTAGCCCTAACAGTCCTGCCAGCCGGCGAAGGACAGGGACTATTAGCAAGACAGATCTTTCCATTGCAGGAAATGGTATTCTAGACTCTAAATGTTACACATTTTGCAGACTGTGACAGCACAGCTGAGGCTCACTCCTCGGGAATCCTTTAAAGAGCAGCTGGCCTTGAGGCCAAAGGATTCAGGCTCTAGGCAAGCTGTTGCCACATGAAGCCATAGCTGCCTGGGCCCTGATCCCCTGCGACATGAAGCATGATGATTTTTTTTCCAGCTCCATAGGATGGCCAAGGAAAGAAGCTATCTCTGTCCATGCATAGGGCTTGGTGTTCCCAGGATTGAAGAACAGAGAGGATACCTAGAGACAGGCCGATCTGCCTGAGTAGCCCCCATTATAAGGCTTTGCTCAGTCATCCTTTGCTGACCCAACTTAGGAAAAGATGTGACTTTCTTAGGACCAAGCATCCAGGGCAGACATAGGGCCAACCATCAGCAAAAATGACTGCTTGAAGCACAGAAGGGCTAAAGGCTTGTGCTTATCTCAAGTGCCAACACACAGGGACTTACAGCCTTCATTGTAGAGGTAGGCGATCCCCAACTTCACAGCAGCTTCAAAATTTCCCTTTTCGGCAGCCCTAAGGCAGCAAGAGCATAAAACACCACATGACTTTACACCATAAGGTTCCGTGGCACCACAGCACTTGAAGAGGAAATCCTTATTTCCTGACTGAGATGTAAACAAATACCGTTTATTGATTTCATGCTACAGTGTGAATGGACCCTGACAACCGTTTGCCAGTGGCAGAAGGTCAAGTAGTCTGTGATGTCTACACCTGGCAAATCCAGAGACAGAAAATAGATAACGGACTGCTCAGGGCTTCTGGGGTTGCAGGGCAAAGCTTGCTAAATAGTACAAGATTTCTTTTTAGGCTGATAAAAATGATCTAAGTTGGACAGTGTTAAGTTTGTAGAAATATGACTGCACTAAAGCCCAGCAAGTTCTCCCTTTAACTCCAGTTCCTCTTCTGGCTTCTCTGGGCACTGCAGACAAGAAGTGCAAATACACACATACAAGCACTCACACACACATGCGTAAAAATAAGTACATCTTTAAAACAAAAAAAGAAAGGCGTAAGTTTTATCCAGAAGCATGGCATCCTGCAACTGGAGTTATGTGCTTGGACTTCCCCAGCAGCCCCAGGGAATAAGGGCCTGGGGAATAAACGCTCACGAGGGAAATTCTGTGCGGAGTTAGTTTCTCCGTTGTGGTAAGAGAGGGCTCAAGGTCAGCCCCGTGGCCCAAGGGCATGCTCTGGAGCCATTAGCAGTCTCAGACAGTGGACCTGGCCACTGGCACTGGGGGTCACAGACTATAGGTCTGCTCTCTCTAGTCCTCTCGGTCACGACTACAGTGAAGGGATGAGTCATCCGTTGACTAAAATATAACAGGTCTGAAATTACTCAGTTCTGAATAAAGGAAAAGAAAGCTGAATACAGCTTCCATGGGAGGTGACTCACAGCTGAGTGAATCAGGAATCGTCACAACCCAAGTGGGACCCTCTGGAAGTAGGGCAGGCACAGAGGACAGACAATGACAGGGCCTGCTGGGAGCAGTGTGATTCAGTAGGTGGGTTCTCCAGTTTGGGGTCTCTTTTGGGGGATGAGAGCAACAGGAAAACAGGTCCCGAATCAGGTGCAGGGACAGTAGCCAGCACCCGAAGGCCACCGAAGGCAGGAGATCAAAGCGTCACTCAGAGCACAGGCGTACCTTTCAAAGAGCTTCAGGTTCTGCGGAGAAGGCCACAGCTCTTGGAAGCTGGCAGATGCCCATACACTGGCATGGTTGTCCACCAGGTACTTGAGATGGGAGTGTACCTGCAGAGCCATGAAAGCCACGTGTGAGTTACTGAGGGACTTCCCACATCCATGCTCCTGGAGGCTCTTGAAAGGGACACACATACCAATCTCAGCATGGTAAGAAACAAAATAGACAAGAGTTTCTACATATAAAAATAAGACTGCTTTGTAGAGAGAACAGAAGCCAGAAAAGACGTTCTCTCTAGTTCTGATCGAGGATAAACAATGGCGCCAGAGGAAAGAACACGCACAAGGTTAAGAAAGAGGTGAACCTGGCATGTGGTGTACACCTTTCACCCCAGCACTCAGAGGAGGCAGAGGCAGGCAGAGGCAGGCGGGCCAGCCAGGGCAGAGCACAGCTTCTCTGTCAAAGGAAGACAGAGAGCAAGGGAAGGAGGAAAAGATGGGTGGGGGTGGGGAGAAAAGAGGGCATCTTTGCAAAGAACTGAAGAAATGGATTGGGGCCAACCAGGACAGAAATCTGTCTTGTGCTATGTAGTGCTACACACTTTTAATCCCAGCACTTGGGAAGCAGAGAAAGGCAGATCCAGCCAGGTCTAGAGAGTGCCAAGGCTACACAGAGAAACCCTGTCTTGACCAAAAGGGAAAGAAAGAGAGAGAGAGAGAGAGAGAGAGAGAGAAGGAAGGAAGGAGAGAAAGAAAGAAAGAAAGAAAGAAAGAAAGAAAGAAAGAAAGAAAGAAAGAAAGGAAAGAAAGAAAGAAAGAAAGAAAGAAGGAAATCAATCCCAGGCAGATAAAACACAGGTCAACATTTTAAATCTACAGTTTCCACTGTAGTTGGAATTTAGGCCCCTATGCTTCTACAGGTGTGTTGGGACAACAATGAACATGACTATAGGAATCATACAATAGATTCTTTGCCTGTTTTTTTTTTTTTTTTTTTTTTTTTAGCCAATTCACTGTATACTCTAGGACAAATCAAAGTGAAACTAGGGCTACAAAATAACTCAAGTTCATTCTGGCATTGCAGGTTAGAGGGATTTTTCTTAAAAAGAGTTTTTTTTTGTTTGTTTGTTTGTTTATTTTATTCTGCCTTTTTTTTTTTTTTAAAGATAGTCTCACTATGTTGCCTACAGCACAACTTAAATTGTGGGTCACAAAGCTGCACACGGGGATGCAAAAAAACAATAGTAAAAGATTTCTGAACAAGCAAAAACCTAAAAGTAATTGAACTAAGCTGTTTCTGACATGTTGCGAACACTTCACTTCAGGACTGGATCTGAGCACACAACACATAAACACGCACCATGCATGCTGTTGCCGACACGACTGTGCTGCAAAGTTCTCTGCTCTAACACAAACACGGTCACTGACCTCTCACGCACGCAGGCTTCCTGCACCTCCCTGACATTACTCCTCAGGATGTAAGTACAAACTGATATCTCCTGAGATTGTAGCCTCAGAATATTTGGTTCTTAAAATCTGCCCTTGACTCCAGTTTCATTCATAAAACTAAAAATCCACAAATGAAGGGACAGGAGAGATGGCTCAGTGGTTAGGACCGGGGTTCAGTTCTTGGCACCTACATGGTGGTTCAGCGTCATTCCTAACTCAAGCTCCAGAGGGGCCCAGTGGATACCGACCCTGGGCAGGAGGCGGGTATGTGCTACAAATATGTACGTGCAGGCAAAACACTCAGACACATAAAATGAGATTATACACATTTTAATTGATAAATACATTCTGTCTTAAAACAGAATTTCTAAAATCAAAACAAAAAAAAACCCTGAAATGTCTTTTTTTTTTTTTTTTTGGAGACAGAGGTCTCTTTGTAGTCCTGGCTGTCCTAGAACTTGTAACGTAGACTAGGCTAGCCGCAAAGCAGCAGAGGTCCTCATCCGAGTGCTGGTATGAGGTCCTGCGCAGCCCAGCTCCACTTCTGCATCTTAAAAATTCTTATCAGCACTACCTTACTCCCCTTTATGTGTGTGTTATGTTACGTTGTATGTGTGTATAGTTATGGAATACCTGTGCCACAGCCTTCAGGGGACAACTTTAGGAGCTGGTTCTTTCTTTTGCTGAGGTTCCAGGCATGAGTCACTGTGTCCAGTTCATGATCTTTTTTTTAATTTTAATTTTATATGCATGGGGATATTTCTGCCTGCATGAAGGTATATGTACCCTATGTGTATGCCTGGTGCCTGAGGAGACCAGAAGAGCTACCTGATCCCCTGGAACTGGAGTTACGGATGGCTCTCAGCCTCACGTGGGTGCTGGGAACTGAACCCTGGTCCCTTGGGAAGAGCAGTGTTCTTTAGCGGCTCAGCACCGCTCCAGCCCACTGTGGTCTTGAGATACAGTTTTCCTGCCATAAAGGGGGCTTTTCTCTCTTGAGGTAAACATGGCAATGAGCTGTGTCAAATCTCAGTATGTAGTCCCTGTAACTGAAACACCTTCAAACACCTATCAATACTATTACCCTTGTTTAAAAGGCATGATGCTGAAGGCCTGTAATCCCAGCACTCGAGGTAGAAGCAGGGGGACCACAAGTTCAAGGTCATCCTTGGCTGCAAAGGCACTTTTGGACCATGCTGAGCTGAGTGAGACACCATCACTTCCCCAGAAGACCCAGGGAAAGCAGTACATGTTGGTAATCCCGACACTCCAGAGGCAGAGGTTAGAGGAGCAGGAGTTCAAGATCAGTCAATCAATCAATCACACCACTTTTGGGCCTGGAAAGATATCTCAGTGGTTAAAGCACTGGCTGTTCATCCAGAGGACCTGGGTTCAATTCCCAGCACCCACAAAGCAGCTGACAACCTTCTGTAACTCCAGTCCCTGGGGATCAGACACCCTCTTCTGGCCTCTGCAGGCACATGAGACACACAGACATGCGGGCAAAACGCTCTCACGCATAAAAGAAAATAAAATAAAAATCTTAAAACCACCCCTTTCCTCTGCTTTCCTTTTGAGTCAGAGTTTTATACTGACATTTAAGGAACCTGGGATCTTTACAGTTTAACCAGGGGAGCAGGACTGGTGTGGTTTCCTATGGCGACTTACGGCTCGGACAGCAAGGATGTCCCCAACGGAAAGCCACTTGAGGATATGGAAGAGCACATCTTCTGGGAGGCTCAGGATGGTTAAGTTCCGGGGTCTTCTTTTGACTCTTCTCTTGGTGGGATAACAGAAGCACTTGGCACACCTACAATGGATCACTTAAGGAGAAGAAAAACCCACAAGCTTGGTGAGATGAAAAGGTCTAAAGATGATTGAATAGCCATTATGCTCCATTCACACAGGGACAGGCCCTAAAATCAAAGCGTGCTATATGAATTACTTAAGATAGCACCACTCCTTCAATACCCAACAAATATTCATGCAGAGTATCACATAACATAGAAACTTTCTGATCTGGGATCCACACGACAACCAAAAAAAGGGGGGGGGGAAGCAGCCAACACTGATGAATGTTTTCCTTGAGTTGAATTTTGGGGGTCGAGATATGGCTCAGCAGTGGTGGCTAGCTCATAACCAGTTAACAAGAACAAGGTCCCTTGGATGTCATTTTTGGTTTTTGTGAGACAGGGTTTTTCTGTGTAGACCAGGATGGCCCCCCTGAGTGCTGGGATTAAAGGCATGCATCACCACTGCCCAGATTCTTTTTTTGTTTCTTAAGATGGGGTCCTCTGTGGCCCAGGCTGGTCTCAAATTCACTCTTTTAGCTGAGGCTGCCCTTGAACTCCTGGTCCCCCCTGCCTCTACCTCCCAAGCTCTTCATTTTAAGTGTTAGACACCGTGCCCAGCTCACTTTGCTTATATTTGCATGTGTGTCTAAAAAGCATAATGTTCAGTATGGACCGAGGAACTTCAACAGCATAGACTGGGAAGTCAAATTAGTGGGGCAGTCCCCAAGAAGGTCTCAGCTTGGCAGACGGCCAGAGCTGCCCAGTGCCCAAACCCAGGGGTCTGCTACACTCAGCTTATAGTAAGGATCTAAAGGTAGGATCTGGGTCAGCGGTTCTCAACCTTCCTAACGCTCGACCCTTTAACACAGTTCCTCATGCTGTGGTGACCCCCAGTCACAAAATTATTTCGCTGCGACTTCACAACTGTGATTTTACTACTGCAATTAATTTTAATGCGAATATCTGAGATGCAGATGTCTGACATGCGACCCCTATGAAAACCATTCGACCCCCCCAAGGAGAGGCCACCGACCTACAAGTTGAGACCCGCCGATCTAGATACACACAGTGACTGGGCCCTGTCCGGCTCTGCAGATAAGCGTTCTTCCCTCTCCACAGTGAGTTCCAACGTTTGCTTCGCCAATGCACTCTTCATTCAGTGCCGATGACTTTTTCCTTTATTTCAGAAGCCCCCCCCCCCCCCCGCCACCTCTTTCAGGAACCTATAAATGTGCCCATCTTTCCACACATTCTTCCTCCTCACACTGAGGCCAAGCGGCTGTTCCCCGGGCCTTGGTAAACCTTTCCACCAGGAGGTCTCTAGATTTTGCCCACTCCCAAACTCTTGACCTGAGTACGGACTGCAAAAGGCAAATGCATACCCGGAGCTATAACTGACAAACCTTATACGTATATTTATAAGTTTCCGGATTCACCTGCCCTAGAACAGACAACTGGAAGGGCTGAACCACTTTAACCGGTAAAATCGTACCCCCAGGTCGTGCGACCTTTCCTGGGACAGACCCTGGGGCGTCCGCAGACCGGAGCTGCGGAAGCGACACTCGGGGAATCGAGCGGATCGCGAGAGCCCGGACAGGACGTGAAATCAGTCTAGATCTTGTGGATCGCTCTCGACCTCCCGGAGAAATAAATAAAACCGTAGTTTGCCGGGCAGATAACCACAATCGCCCGGGGTAAGGGGACAGGCGAAGGCGCCGGGCGGGCATTTAAACCGCGCGGACCGGCTCGCGGGTCGGGGTCTCCGCGCCTGCACCGTGCTTCGGGGGCCACGACGCGCCCTCCCGGACCCAGCCCCCCCCCCCCTGGCCGGGGCTCCTCAGGACCCATCACCCGCCCGGCTCCCGCCGGCCACTCACCGCCGCCGCTCCCCATCGCCGAGCTCACAGGACTGCCGCCCTGGACCGCTGGCGAGCGCGCCCGCGCCTGGGGCAAGTGCGCGGAGAGCCACACGCAGGCGCCGTCCCCACCCCCGCCCCGTTTTCAAACGCGCCCGGAGCTTCTACTGGTAGGACCGCGGGGGTACGCCCCCTGGATCACCAGCCTCTCCCGCCCCGCAGGCTCTGCGCGCCCGGGATTGGGTACACCAGGACGCAAATTCAAACGCTGGCTGTCTATTGGCTTACCCCTGGGCCGACCCGCCTTCTCCGCTGGGCGGGGGACCGGGGCCAAACTCAGCTGGCGCGGGCGGGCTACCCCTGAAAGCCCGCCCGGAGCCGGGGCCACGCTCCTCCCCGCGGGCTCCGCGGACCCTCGGGGAACCGGCCGTGGGTGTGCCCACGGTGCCACCTGTAACCACGGGCTCCCTGCGATTCGGGGTTCGCACCGCGCCAGGTAGCCACAGCACGTTCCGCTGAGCCGTCTGTTCCCTCGTGCCCTGGCAGTGAGCAGCGTCCTGTCCCGCCTCCTCGAGGGAAGAAAAGTTGTCTCTGGAGGGTGGGGAATCGGCCCAGCTTTCTCTTCTCCACACAGCTTAGGTCAGCCGTCGTGCTTTTCCAGCAGCCCGCGTGCTTGCTCACGGTGGGGTACCTGTCCGGTGCAGGAAGCTGGCTGTCAAGACCCCTGGTCGGTCTGCGGAAGTAAAGAGGGGATGGCTGGTGACAGCACAGAATATGAGCGAACCCCAGGGCAGGACCTGGGCTCTGCTCCCTTCCCTGCTGATTCACCTGCGGAATCCTCACCCGGCTCCTGTCTCTTTTCAGGAATGGAGCACTGTTTCTTATTTTGTTACTTTTTTGCCTTTCTCTTTTAGAACTTTATTACTTTGTTACCTTTTCCCCGGGGCTGAAGCCCCTGCTTTCAGTAGCACCTGGAAGGCATAACAAACAAACAAACAACAACAAATACGAAACGAAATCTAACAAAGAGCAAGCCCGCTGTCAATCACATCCGAATCTGTAACAAGATCACTGGCCCCCTGGTTACTCTACCTTGTTCGTTGTATCCTCAGTTTCTCTTATTTATTCCCAGGCAGTTTTTGATGGTTTTCATTAAGGGGATCCCAGTGTCAGCTGCCAACCTGACAGCTGCTTAGAAGCATCTGAGGGGGACTGAGTTGTGGGATTGCCCAGGTCAGACTGGTTTGCAGCCATGTTGGTGAGGGACTGGTGCGACTGATGATTGGGTGAGAGGGTTCAGCCTCTCGCTACCTTGTTGGCACCTATGGCAGGCAGGCCTAGGCTATAAAAGAAAGCTGTCTGAGCACCAGCCAGGGGACAAGCAAAGGAGCAAGCCAGCAAACACTGTTCCGTGATCGTGTGACCTAGAAGTGCAAGGCAAATAAATTACTTTTGGTTGTTGTTTGTTACAGCAATAGAAAGCAAACTAGAACACCCTATGTAGCCCAGGCTGACCTACAACTTGAGGTCTGTCCTGCTTCAGCTCCCTTAAGGCTGGAGTACAGTCATGCACCCCTTCATCTGGCCAACCAGATGTTCTCCTGGCTGTAGATCTGATCATGGCATGGCTTTGCCTCCTGGTCCCACTGTAGTGAATTTTGAACCCCTAGGGGTAACCTACACTAAGGGCTACACCTACAGAGTATGAGGTATACCCATTCCCCACTGAGTTTTGAGGGATGAGAGAACTCAGGAAGAGCCAGCTCTTGGGAGCTGAGGATTAAAGGGTCCAGTGTACTGTGGGGTACCAGATTAGGCACAGACCGCACACCCAAACACCAATTTCCAAGCACAAACCAAACACAAAAAGATCCTTTATTAAGCGAGGCGAAGTGGCTGGATCTGAGCTGGGCAGAAACTGCAGCAAATAGCTGGGTAAGTGTTAATTTTAAGAGGGAAAAAGAGGGCACACCTTCAATCCCAGCACTCAGGAGGCAGAGGTAGATGGTCCTCTGAGTTCAGGGGCTAGCCTGATCTACACAATTCCACGACCACTAGGGCTACACAGAGAAACCCTGTCTCGAAAAATCAGTCAACCAATCAATCAATAACTAAATGAAAAAGGGAACTAAGCACAGTGGCGCACACCTGTAATCCCAGCACTCTATGAGGCAGAGGCAAGTGGACTGCTGTGAGTTCAAGGCCAGCCTGGTCTACAAAATGAGTCCAGGACAGCCAAGGCTATGAAGAGAAACCTGTCCCTCCCTCACCCCGCCAAAGGAAAAAAGGGGAGTTCTGTGTTGGAGTGAGCTAGGATGTGTTAGTAAATTCCGATTGGGTATTTCAATTAGGTTAGTCAAAAGGCTGAATTTGGATACCTGGACCTTGTGTTTTGATTGTTGGACCTCAGTGATCAGTCTCAGGAACGAGTCAGTGGCCAAATAAGGGACTAGGCCTTGGGGACTAGCATTAGGAATTGGATGGTTTAGCAAGAGAGAGAGCTAGAGCCCCTCAAGGATTGCTCTTGGCTTAATAAAATACCAGCTGCAGGCCTGGGGGTGGATGAGGAAAGACTCAAGCATGGCAGGCTATAGGAGGAGAAGTATGCGAAGGCAAGCATTGCGGGGCCCCGAAGGACCTCACCCATTAGAGACAGAGGAGGCTGAGGGAAACACCAAGTGATGTAAAGCCCAGGAAGTTTCCCATTATGAAGGACCAAAAAGTATTGTGGAGTTCTACAGAACAGTCACCTGAAAAAAGATCAAGAAGCCATCTAATGCGGCAACCTGGTGTTGCCGTTGTGGGTAAGGGAGTGTGAGAAAGGTAAGCATGGCTGAGAAAGATCATCTGAATTCAGGGCGACTTCCACAGACAGGCTCTCTGGGAGACTACTTCTCGGGAAAGAAGACATTCTCCACATGACAGGTGTACACAGATACACCCTTCCGGGAACATGGCCACAGCGACTGTCTTAGCCAAGGATGTGTCTGATCCCCTGAGACAGTGCTAGTATCACCATAGCCTGATTGGGCCCCAATCCAGAGGCCGCTAGCTGCCGACTCAGCAGAGCTTTCGTGAGCTGTGGTGATTTAAATGAGAATGGCCTCCAAAGTCTCATGTGTGACTATTTTGCCCCCAGTTGGTGGAACTCTCTGGGGAGGGTTAGGAGACGGGTCTTGGAGGAGGTGTGTCACTGGGAGTGGGCTTTGAGGTTGCAAAAGCTCCTGACATTCCCAGTTTGCTCTCTCTGTTTCATGCTTACGGATGAAGATGTCAGTCAGTGTTCAACTGCTGCTCCTGTGCCATACCATGGCTGCCTGCTGCCTGCTCCCCACCGAGATGGACTCTAAGCCCCAAATTAAACACTTTCTTTTATAAATTGTCTTGGAGCCAGTCATGGTGGCTCACACCTGTAATCCCAGCACTGAGGGAATCAGGGGCAGGACAATCTCTGTGAGCTCGAGGCCAGCCTGGTCTAAAAAGCAAGTCCAGGACAGCCAGAGCTACACAGAGAAACCCTGTCTCAAAAAACCAAAATAAATAAATAAATAGTCTTGGTCATGGTGTCTTACCACCACAACAAAAAGATAACTAAGATAAGGCCCAAGAATCTACATTACTTTTTCTTTCGTTTGTTTTTTTGTTTTGTTTTGTTTTTTTTTTTTTAGGAGGGTGTTAGAAATTCAACCCTCAAACTAAACGTGATTGTGTCACTTAGTCAAGACCTTAACTCTCTGAAGAGAGTTAAGAGGTCTATCAAGATTTCTGAAGCCACCATTGCTCCTGTTACTAGTTGGGGATCCTGCTCTGGGAATTCTGCCAGAGTTTAATCCTGGCATAGAACACTGAGAAGCTGAATTATCTCTAGGTCTCAGTTTACAGACCTGAGAAATGAGACCATAAGGGTGTCCACCTCCCAGGGTGATGGAAGTCACATAGTTGTCCACCCTTGACATTTCCGGAGACAGGGAGAAGAAGAAATATTGCCCACCCATCTCAACAGTTAAGTACTGGAAACGGTGACTTACGTTAGCAAATGTATCAATAGGTTCTCCCCTCCCACCTTTGGAAAGAGAGCATCATCACAGCAGTGGTCCAGGGTTGGACTGAGAATTCGGCGTGCCATTACACGGGGAGCCCGCTCCAGGCCTAGTCCAAAGTCACCCATTTTCTCCCGTTCCTAGCTTCATCTTCCTTACCAGAGGGGTCTAGCTGCACCTGTGCATCTACCCGTCATTCTGCAGAAAGCAGACAGCCTTATGCCCCTCGGACCTCAGGGTACAGTGGCATGGTGGATCTGGGAGGAAGTATAGTGGATACTATACTTGATGCCGGAGGAGTCAGACAAGAGATGGGGCGGTCTCCTCAGCCCTGCTGACTATCTTGTCAAGGACATGGACATGTTGTGACCTTCTACTGTTGTGGGTCCAGGACACGTGGTCCTTGAAACTGAGCCTCTGTGTAGTATAATGAAATGACAAGGAGCATACAGACCTCCAGGCACAGAACCAGCATTGGATAGGGTAATGACTGGGGCTGTGTTAGCCACCACACCACCGAGTCTTTAAAAATGTTTATACACAGGTTTACCCCCTCCACTCCACTCCTAACTCCCTCCCTGCTCCTCCTGGAGCACCTTCTTCCCAATAGACCCCTCTCCTACTCTCATGTCTGGCTACACCCTCTTCCCCCAGCAGCCATTAACTGTCAACAGCCGCTCAGCTGGGGGCGAACCAGATACGGGGGGGGGCTTTAACCAGGAGGGTGTTCTTAAGCACTAAGCCCCCTCTCCGGTATCTTAACGCAGGCACTCAGAGCTATAAACTTCCCTCTACTCTCATTGTATCACATAATTTTCACATGTTGTGTTTCCATCCTCATCCAGTTCTAAGAATTTTTAAATTCTTGGTTTTGTCAAGGACTCACACAGTAGTGCGTCATTTAGTCTCCCTGAGTCTGTGTGTGTTTAGGGTCTCTCTGTTGTAGTCTTGTTTCACTGTAGTAGTCTTGCTCAGAGAAAACACAAGCGTTTCAGCTCTCCTGCATCTGGTAAGACTTGCTTTGTTGCTTAGTACGTGACC